TATTTGATATGTCCGTTAACGGGATAACTCGAGCAAACATGATCTGATTTTGATAAAATTTGGTACAGACGTGTAAACCGACGTTTATTTCACTTGAATTCGCGAACTAACATGATTGGATAATGGGAATTTGTGGGGGGGGGGTTCCCACGATGAGTTAAGGAGGACATAAAATAAATTGTATCAGTAATCTGACACATACTTTCTCCCATTAGCTTGTCAAAACCCTTTATCAAGGGTAAGCGATAACAGTAACTATGATATTAAATTGGTAAAATCACAAAAGTTGCATTAAATTTTGAACCGTAATTTTTACAGGAATGGGGGGGGGGGTTACTCTATTTTTTATAAGGACCATAACAGACGAATTTCAATCAGAACCGGGGGTTTTTTAATCCATTTTTCCGTTTTTTATGAGTAAATAACATAAGTTACAATAACTTTTGAACCGTAATTTTTATAGCAATTGAGGTTTCACTATGTTAATATTAATTATTAGGACCATTACATACTAATTACAATAAAACCGACTAATTACGAAAATCCGATTTTCCCTTATTTTATGGGTTTTTATAAGAAAATAATGTAAGTTATAATAACTTTCAACCGTAATTTTTACAGGAATGGGAGTTCTACCATTTTGTTTACAATTTAAAGGGCTAAAAAATACAATATTTTTAACAAAATTGTTTAGGCCATTTTCGAGAAAATTTAATTTTTCCGTTATTTTATGGGGTTTTATGGTGAAATCGCCATTAAATAACCCCGCCGCAGCAAACCTGCAGACTAAGCAATTTTTTTTTATTTTGGAAACATTGATTCTCATTAAAAAGAACCCACATCAATATTAATCTTCACCTAGCAATTTAAAAAAATACTTTTGGCCAAGAGTTGCTACAGTGTCCGTGATTGTGTCGTTGTTGGTTTCAATTGTTCATGCATGTAAAGAAGCTTGTCATTCACTGATTGAAGCACAATTAATTGTTTTATTTTTAATTTTAGACGTAAAAAAAGATATATTTTTTTACATGACTATTGCAAATCTGTTTTGTTACCATAGTTTAATGAAGGAGCTATTGAGTTATATTATTGCTTGTTTGTCAAAATGTTTTGATCAAATTTGGAAAAATTATTTATTTCATACTAATCTGTTAACGTTTAACTAAAAAAAAAAAAACTATATTACTTTCCCTGTTTCAGCAACCTATGTACTCATTAAACTTAAATGTAATTTGAAAAGGGGTGAGGTTCATAATGTCCAAATTTCACAAACTCCAATGGTTGAAATATTAAATAAACAGTGCCTTTTTATAATGTCCAAATTTTCATAAACTCCAAAACTATAACTTTCAAATAATCACCGTTTCATAATGTCCACATTTCACAAACTCCAACGGTGATTTCACAATGTCCAACGTTAATATATTAAATAAACAGAGCTGTTCATAATGTCCAAATTTCATAAACTCCAAAAATACAACTTTCAAATACTACCGTTTCACAACCTCCAAATTTCACAAACTCCAACGATAAGAATGCGGTTCATAATCTCCAAATTTCATAAGCTCCAACGGTACAGTCTCGGCCAGAAGTCGCTACAGAGGTTGCCGTGGTTCGGTATATAGGCGCTACACGTTTTAGTATTGTAGCCACGCGTCACAAAACATCATTGGTGGTCCGTAGATGCGTTGTTAAAAGTGTAAAGTATTGGTATTAATACCCCTTCCGCAGCAAACCTGCAGACTAATCGAATTTCCATTTTCCTTATTTGATTTATACTATCAATGAAGTTACGTGCGTATCAATGCAGTTATTAGTTTATATATTGCAACATGGATAATTAAAGCCTTATTCATATAATCGTACTTCCTAACTAATATTATAAACGAGTGACACATTGGAAAAGCGAGTTTAGCACTTCCTCTGTTAAACCTCTGTTACAATCACCCACTGCAGTTGTGATTTTTTACTTTACACTTTACACAACCGCCATTGAAGCGCCGTCAATGAGTGGAAACCTTTTTTGTAAGCTATTGGCGACGATCATTTCAGTGTCCCAGCCCTATACAACACTGATTCAAGGTCTTCTTTCTGGTTGTCAAAACTCAAGAAACATTTTATACTCAAAGCATTTCTGGTTCCGATTTGGACGATGTCGAGTTATTTAATTTCATTTACGGTTACACTATTAGACTATATTATTGCACTTGCGATTAATTAAATCCGTTATGTAAGAAAAACGTTTTTAATCTCACTTGGTTGGGATTTGCTTTCAAAACGTGATTCGAAATGGTTGCGGTATTTGTAAACAACATTTGTAAACATATTATTGACAGCTAGAAAAAATAATCTTGATCCGAACAGCTGTTCGTTATTTCATAGACGATTATGTGATAAAAATTGAACGAAAATTTGACAAAAATCACACAAAACTGCATTTTTGAACGTCCGTAATTTTATTTACAAAGTAGTGAGGCTATATTTAAATCACTAAAGACACTCTCGCCAATCCAGTGAATACATTAAAATGACTTGGATCTTGATAGGTACTCTGGTTTTCACGGAGAAGATTGCGTAAAATGCCATCTTGAGTGTTACAGACAAAGGGAAAGACAGACAGACAGACAGAAATAGAGATAAGACTCGTTTCTGCTTCTTTTTAATGTATAAAACGTATAAATAACCTAAAAGTATATAATTCTGAACAAAGTACAGTCAAAACTCTAATTTTATTTATATAGAAGATAGAAGAAGAAGAAGACATAGATTTATTTAACCAAATTTCATCAAAATCGGACAAACATTAACCAAGTTATCGCGTTCGCGGGCGTATACATATTTAGTTTTGTCAGATTTTGATGAAATTTTGTTTGAAGGTGTAAGGCGGGATAAACTTGAATGAGTTCGTGAACCAGCAAGATTGGACCATGGGAACGGGGTTTTACGTGGGCTTTTATGGGTGTGAAAAATGGGTTTTCTCATTTTTGACCTTCAAAACACAAAATTTCCCAATATCTCTCTAGACCTTATTAAAGAGCGTAAAACACAAATTTAGTATATCAAAGTTTTTTTTGTACGGTTATTGGTAACGGAGAAAATTAAAAAATGACACACTTTATTAGTTTTCTTGTAGCAGCAAATAAGTACTCGTTAAATCTATTGTAATGTTATTTAAATAAATTTGATTGAAAATCAATTCAGACAAAGGGAAATTTCGCTTAGTCGTCAGGTTGCTGTGGCAGGGGTATTATTATTATTAGTTAGCGGAATTAAACAAATCTATATATATAAAGCTCAAATACCACTGACTCGTTCATTCACTCACTCACTCACCACGAAATCTCAGAAACCATAAGACCTAGGAACCTGTAACTTGGCAGGCATCTTCCTTTTGGGTAGTAGACGCTCACTAAGAAAGGATTTTACCCTCCGACCTATGGGCTCCGCCCCAGTGGCTCTGGAGTTTCCCATGTTAACCTTATGAGTACTCATATTTAAATGGAAGAACCTTAACAGCTGTTTCAATTAAACAAGTTGGTTCTGTTCTATGATATTCAATAGCATTAAAGTTACAAGGATTACCAACAGGGTGCAGCACTATTATTTCTTTTACACTTATGACCACAGCTAATTTGCAACCAAAAGGTGAGCGAGAGTAGCGAACGAACTTCAACCTGGAGGCGAGTTGGCGTAGCGAACGAGCTAACCTAAAGGCAAGTGAGCGCAGCGAACGAGCTCCAACCTAAAGGTGAGTGAGCGTAGCGAACGAACTTCAACCAGGACGTGATTGAGCCATGCGAACGAGATCATCTTCAAAATTAAGAAGTTAAACGGGGCAAGGCCCGCGGGTTACAGCTAGTAGCTTATAAAAGTGGTTCTATCAGCACGGGAAGACTTGGTGAATTCTACAGAAATCAGTTATTTCAATTAGTACACTCTGTTGGAGGCTCAATTTTGATCCGAAAACTGGCTAGAATTACAACCATATGCAACAACTTTGAACTCTATGGGGATGGGAAATCTAACTTCCTACCAATATTATAAATGAGAAAGTTTGGATGTATGTATGGATGTATGTTTGTGACAAGTGAACGCATTAACCACTGGACGGATTTTGCTGAAATTTGGCATGATGATAGCTCACATTCCCGATTAACATATATGCATATTCTTATTTCAAAAATCCTTTCGGGCTCTGCCCCAGTGGCTCTATAGTTCCCCATGTTAACCTTATGAGTATTCATATTAAAAGGGAATTAAATAATTTAGTCAGCTGTTTCAACTAAAAAGTTGATTTTATGATATGCAAAAGCATTAAAAACTTACAAGGATTACCAACAGGGTGCAGCACTATTATTTTTTTTTTAATATATGACAACAGCTAAGTTGCAACCAAAAGGTGAGTGAGCGTAGCGAACGAACTTCATCCTGGAGGCGAGTTAGCGTAGCGAACGAGCTCCAACATAAAGGTGAGTGAGCGTAGCGAACGAACTTCAACCAGGACGTGATTGAGCCATGCGAACGAGCTCACGAAGTAAAACGGGGCAAAGCTACAAGCCCGCGGGTACAGCTGAGTGAGCGTAGCGAACAAACTTCAACCTGGGGGTGAGTTAGCGTAGCGAACGAGCTAACCTGAAGGCAAGTAAGCGCAGCGAACGAGCTCCATTCTAAAGGTGAGTAAGCGTAGCGAACGAACTTCAACCAGGACGTGATTGAGCCATGCGAACTAGCTCACTTATGAAGTAAAACGGGGCAAAGCCCGCGGGTACAGCTAGTAGTTCTATAAATATATATAGGCCTATATAGTCCATTAGTCCAAGTACAAGGTCTTACAAACAATTAATTTTCTTAGTTAGCTCAAGCTGTAGTTTACAACAAGATTGCATGGCAGTATAGTTACTTTTGAAGAACGCCTAAGCCTGCTTTTAGAAAGAAGAAAACAAACTTCTTCGATATTGATAATAAAAAAGAACTAAAATGACTGTTAGTTTGAAGTTTGAGTTTGAGCGCGGAAATTTTATGGTGTAAGGTGTAGTGTAGGCCTTCCAGGGATTATAGTCTTTTTATTTTTCTAATTCTTTTACTTTTCGGTTTCATTGTTGTTTAGCTGTTGGTTGACATTATTTTACACATGAACAGTGAACAATATTCTATTTCTGTTAGATTAGGTAGTATTTGCCGTGTTTGCAGTTCTGTTGTGTTGTTGAGTGAAAAGTGTTCTTCTTAACTTAATAATTTGTGAAAGCCTATTATTATTATTTGAGCAAATTTAAATAAAAATTTGAATTTCATAGTCTGTTTAGGTCTACTTTTGTCGGAATAATTTAAATTATTACATTAACAAATATTTTTCAAATTTATTTAGTTACTTGTGAACGTAGGTAGCATAGGCCAAATGGATAGGCGAGAATTGCTGAAACCTTCACGTTTTGGAAACGCAGAGAAACGTAGGCTCGTAGACTCCAAAAACCTGAGGGAGCAACGTAGCCTTAGAAGAACAAATAATTTTAACCTTCACAGACAAATTGTACCAGGTCTGTATTAAGTTAACTTAGGCCTATAGCCTACCTTAAACTGAGCTAGGCCTGGCCATAAGTTAAATATCCCTATGGTCTGTAATTAGGGATGTTGCGATACCGCTGTCTTTCTGATATTTGGTATCGATACCTACCGCATCGCAAAAAAGCATCGATACCCTCTCAGTAACTTAGGCCTATCATAACTAAAGTAGGCTAACTTATCGATACCATCAGTATCATATCTATTCGATACTAGTGACATCATATCCATTCGATACTAGTGACATCATATATATTCTGATTCACTGATCTTTGATTAAAGTTCACTCGCTCCAGTACAGTAGGCCTAGGCCTACTTACAGCCAATATAGGATTCGAGCTGCTAAGAACTAAGTTACCTAATTAGGTAGTACTAGGCTACCTATGTAAAAAGTGGATAAAATTTAACCAAACATAGCCAACCTTTGTTATCAATTTTACCTTCAAGTAGGCCTATAAATTCAAGTAGCCTACCTTAAATGTTCTAAAGCCTACATTTATCTTTTTAATAGGCCTAGACAATTTTATTACATTACCAACATACACACACATTTGTGTTTATCATTAGCCTAAATTGTAAAAAGAGGATTTGGTTAAAAAACTATTACTTAAGTTAAGTGTACAACTGCACAGTTAAAAAACATTGACGGGTGGCGTCGTCCTGTAATCCAGCTACTAGGAGGTCACGAATTGTGGATATTTATAGGGATGCACTGTGGATGCGATGCTCCCTGGTGTGGATTAACGTCCGCACTAGTGAGTACTACGACTATCCGCAGTACTATCCTGATAATTAGACCAATTCGTAAATTACAAGGAAAAATGTGGTTCGGATTCCACTATAAACTGTAGGTCCCTTAGTTGCCATTAGCTGTATGGGCTATTAATTAACAGCTGTGTCTAAGGAATATGTCGGCCTTAGTCCCTAACAAGACTACAAGATCGCGCCACTCATCCTACACTCATCCTTCACTCATATTTGGGTTAAAATACGCACATAGTGGCGTCCCCATCTTAACTAATTGATAATTGATAATTGATAATTGATAATATTTATTAGGAGTACTGTGTAGTTTATCTTGATGTTAAATAGTCTATGGTTTTATTTCATTTGCTTAACACAACATTGCTTACATTGGATTCTAAAGCCACACCAAAGTTTCAAACAAAACGTTGCAAACTTTTATTGCAAACCGTAGTTTCAAATAAAAGTTTGCAATTTTTATTTTATGGGGCTGCACTTTACTTGACGTCCTACACTCATTCGAATGAAAATATCGATCGATATATCAATTAATCGATTGCTTCAGTCGATATATCGTTTGGTTAGTTAGGTAAGGTAAACCTAACCTAACTAACCAAACGATATATCGAATGAAAGAATCGAATGAAAATATTGAATCGAAAAAACCAATCGAATGAGTGTAGGACGTCAAGTAAAGTGCAGCCTTTTATGGTTTTATTTCCAAGTTTCATGAAATTGTTTGAAACACTTTTGACCCTGATTATGACTCGCCTATGTTCTGGTTCCTGGGATCAGTCCTTCCGAGGATGTCATTTTGAATGAAATGTCATTCCATACCTAGTTGTTCATGTTTTTATTTTTGTAATCGGAAATAGTTTGGTTCCACAGGACTTGCTGCTCTCTGCACAAGATAGGCTAATTAACTTTAGAATATTGTCATCTACCCACTCCATCTCATTCAGTAAATTTTCCATTGTCACTCACCACTGATCATTCACAACACGCACAAGAGAACTACCAACAGTCCAGACATTTTTATAACACTTGAGTCGAGACACAGGGTGGTGCAAGTGATCAAGTAAGTGAGAGTGGAGGTGGCAGCATAGGGGATGGCAGGGAAATGTTTCTGTTTCGAGTTTCAACGGCACATAGTGACCGAAACCAGTGTTGAAAATAAAAGTTTGCAACTCTCCCTTTGATCTTAACCGACTTCAGGTGGAAACAACAATTTCTGTTGCAAACACTGAAAAACTGTTTGCAACCGCAAAATGTTTCGTCTAAAAATGTGCGTGTTTAGAGATGTTTGCAATTTCTGTTTGCAACTCGTGTTTCAAACTTTGGTGTAAATGCGGCTTAATATAAATACAAATAACTCTTTGCAAACAAACCCTTAAGTTTTACTTATACATTATACATTAGGTATATAAAGTTCTATGAATTATTAGTGAATCATAATTATACTCAAACCACATAACTTATCATCAGACAAGCTAGACAAAAAAACTACCTAAATATTTGGGTTAAAGTCTGTTTCATTTTTTGGTGACTGTTGCAGCATTTTGGCAGAAACAGTTGTGTTAACTCACTTCAATCACAAGACATTTAAATGAATAAGTGTTTTCAGTGCACTGGTATGAATGTTTATCATTGGCCACAGTGGTGTGGAATGAGCAGGTGGGGAAGGGTTGGTCTGTAGTAAGGGGTTGGACAATGGAAATTTGCTTAAGTAGTCTGCAGGTTTGCTGCGGCAGGGTTATTTGATTAGCTTTAACCTTGCCCTATGAATGTAGACTACCTATTGCTAACATGGCTGTTATGAAAATATTTGGCCAATTTAAAATCATTTCAACTTTTACTTTTACTTATAATTTATTTCCAGTTCAAGATCAGTTATTAACATAATAAAGAAACCCACTGCAATATAATTACATTTTATTTAGCCTATTTTTTGGTTTCAGAGGTTGACACAGGTCTAAATGAAAATGTACCGGTACCTCCAAAGTTTAACAAACTTATCGATCGTAAGCTAGCCTTACAGAAATTCAAGGCTGAAAAAGAAGCGGAGAAGAAAGCCCAACAAGAGAGGAAAAAACCACCATTTGTTGTGGGGATACCACATCATGGGTCATCTCCTTTATTAAGAAATGCAAATGCATCAGGCAAAAATAAAAAAGAAATCCAAAGCACTGCTAATGCTGAGGTAAGAACAAGAGTGACTAGAGCCTCTACCAGAGCAATCAAAGGAAATGTTTTGAAAGAAAAGCCTAAAAATATTGTGCAGCCAAAAAAGGTCCCTGCATTTAAAGCACCACCATCAGTCAAAGTATTTCCTTTTAAGGATAGTAAAACAGTGGTGAGTTAAAAAAACATTTTTTTCTGCATGCCGCTTGGTGGTTATTGCCTGCACTTTACCTTCTTTAAAGATGGGTAGGCCTATAGGAAAACACTATTTTAAAAGTAGCCTAGTTAAATACATTAGAACAACCTTTCTTTCTCTGTTATCTTGTGACTTCTTTAAGGTGACACAGTACTCCCTATCCCGCCCACGTTAAAATGACAGTTTTTAGGTACACATAACTTTTACAAATATTAACCTATCAACTTGAAATTTTTGTACTAAGTTTAATACATTATTACCAACAATAATATGAAGCAAAAAAAGTTTTTGAGCAAAATTAAATTGTTAGTATGGTTTTAAAAATTGTATAAAATATTTTGTAATTTTTTAACATAAAATATTTTTTTATTTCAAAGGTTTTTGGTTGTCATGGAAACTGATTTGTATTATTGTTCCTTATCATATGAGGAACACACACACCAATTTTTATTGAAATTGGATTATAATTGAGGAAGAAAAGTGGACCTGACTAAAAACCACTTGACTTACGGAAAACGACAAAAGTACCCCCTGTCACGGGTAGTTGTAGGACCCTTGGGCATGCTAAAGTAAGAGTGGATAAAAGTCGCTGTATAGCTTAAAATAATTTTTTCTTCCATAATATTTGGTATGTACAAGTTCAGGAAAGTGTGTTCTACAAAACTAAATACCTAAATACTAATAACTAAATATAATAGGTAGCCTAATAAAAAATGTTTAAACATATTTAATATTTGACGGCGTACCCTCTGCGTCTTGATTAGTAGTAGGACCCTGGACATGCTAAATTAGGCTGCAATAGTTTATAAAAGTAGCTGAAAATTTTAAAAATAATTTTTTTCTTCCATAATTTTTATTATCTACGTGTTCAGAAAAGTCTGTTCTACAAAAATAAATAATAAAAAAAAATAAAAAATAAATTATATTTGGGTACTGTGTTACCTTAATCCATCCATGCTTGTACTGGAAACATCTCAAACATTTTGGAAACATCTGTACAGTAGGCATTTTGGGTTTTTTGAGCGACAGTTTTTAGGATTTGTAATACAGTCAGATCAGTATAGTTTTAGCTTTGATGGAGTTAAAAAATTCTGAATGTCATTCCTTCAAAAGGTTCCTTTTTTTCAGTTTTCTTTCCAAGCCAAGCAGACCCACAGTGTGAAAAAACTTACATCACCACACACACCAACAGTACTTAAAAGATCTGCCCAAAAGAAACCACTCAGAAATATGTAAGTAGTAGGCTACTATCTATTATTGTTTATTATTCTTACAAATAAGTATGTCCTATTCATATGTTTATGATTTTAAAAATCATAATTTTTAACCTTTCGAGTGTTAAGCGTCGCACTGTGGTGTTATGCGTCGCTTTTGCGACTCACAAACATCGTTTACGGCGAAGGCTCTGGGACTGACTGAATCATATTGAAATGTATCGAGATTGATATCCTTGTTTTTTGCAGATTTTAAGCTTTCTCCTGATGTCTGTTTCTAGACGCTTTTCATTTTAGTTCCAATCATATTGTAGCAGACAGATGACGTGCATATTTGTAAACAACTTTGTTAACCTCACATCGATGACTGATGTGTTTTATTACGTTTATCGTTGTTTTAGTGTCAAAAATAAAAATTAGTGATAAATGTTGTGCATTATAAGAAGATTTAAGTGATTTTGAAGGGCTGGTTGATGATCCTGAAAAAGTAGGTGTATATTGATGTAAATTATCCGCCAGATTCCTAACTATGGTTAGGCTATGCATTCTTAGCTAACGCTAAATGTACGAAATCTGTTTTTCACCCATAAGTTATTTATTTTAAATCAAAGACTTCAAGGGTCTACCAAGGTGTCCCGCAGGGATCAATCCTTGGTCCAGTTTTGTTCCTGATTTATGTCAATGACATCCACTCCTCAATGAACAGTGGGAAGATCATACAGTATGCAGATGACACGACTCTCTATTTTGAATCAAATTCCCAAGAAACCCTTGAAATTGAAAGCTTCATCAACTTGAACGCCTGCATTCAAAAGTTCCAATCCGAAAATTTAAGCACGAACGAATCAAAAACATGTTACATTCATTTTGCACTTCGTCACCGTGACGATGAGTCTACACCCACAGTAATGGTAGATGACACCTCTCTAGAGGAGGTTGATTATATCAAGTTCTTAGGGATGCACCTGGATAAGGCGCTGAACTGGCAAGATCACATTGATAGCCTCTGCTCCAAAATCACAAAAAGGTATTTTTGCCTTAAGGAATCTCAAACAGACCTGCACAAAACAAGTTCTAATCATGGCCTATTATGGCCTTGTTCACCCCCACCTTACCTATGGAATTAGGTTATGGGGCGGTTGTTCCAATCGAGATTTTGAAAGGGTATTTATACTCCAGAAAAGAGCCATCAGACTAATTGCAAATTTAAGTCAACATGAAAGAGAGACGTGTAGGCTTGCTTTCAGGGAGCTTGGAATCTTGACCTTACCTTCCCTTTACATTTTGGAGACTGTGGTTTATTGCCGTTTCCAACACTTACCAATTCAAGGCAATGCTATCCACAGCTATGGAACTAGAGCAAGGGACGATTTTCGCACTGTCCAACACCGCACAGCTGCGTTTGCGAAACTCCCTTCCCAAGTAGGTGTCGGGTTCCTTAATGCTCTTCCTGAGAGACTAAAAAGCCTGGAGAGTTCTCATTTGTTCAAAACAAGACTGAAGAGAGAGTTGACGAATCTTGTGTTCTACGGGGTGGATGAGTTCACTAAATACCGTTGGAGTTGAATTGATCACAACATTTCCTTCCCCAGGGGTTTAGTTAGATTTTAGTCAATGTTTATTAAAATAATTACTGTTATTTCTTTTAATAGGAGTTTATTTATTGTTATTAATTAATAGTTTATTCATTTACTGTTTTTACAAAGCATATATATACAGATTTTATAAATAAACACCTACCCAATATCCGACCTTAGTTTACACAGCTACATGTTATATTTTATCTTATTTGTTGCATTTTTTGTATTGACTGACGTTTGCTATACAATGTACAATTGTCAAAAAGCAATAAAGAGATTATTATTATTATTATTATTATTATTTGCAAATTAACTTGTACTTATAGGCCTATTATTATATTTTTGGAATCCTCATAAAATTTAGAACAAAGTGGCTATTTTAAAATATTTGTAGACCTATAACCCTAGGAGTGGCGAGACCGATTTTCAGTATGTGCTTTGTGGAGTGGCACGCTCATTTTGGTGAATTTGTAAGGGAGTTCTTTAAAAATCTGTATAAAATTAGTATGTAGAGATAAACTATAGAACCGTATATTCATTTTGTTCGTAATAGTCAGTAGAATTCAAAAATGATTAATTTTAATCAATTTTAGAAAGGTATATTTTTATTAAAAAAAGTAAAAAAAAGAAAATTTATATATTGTTCAAATTTTATTTCCAAAGCAGACACGTGTCACATGTAACGTAATTTTTTATCGCACAATTCAAAATATGCATTTTTGTACAGAATTTATTCCTCTACATAGACATATACACAAAAGAATTATTTTTATAGATTTACTAGCAATAATAGGGAAAAATTGGAAAACATCAATTTCTACAACTACACGTTGATAGATCCACAAATGCTCTCTAATAATAAATCAATATCATAAAACCATACATGTTTTGAAGCCAATAATATCATTCTACATAAGAATACTAAATAAAAGTTTTTTATTGAATATTTGGTTTTCACAAAAGCAAAAATGTAAACAAAACAGCTGATTAGCTGTTATAGCCCACAAAACTTCACTAACTTATTATCCTACTAGCTGTAACCCGCGGGCTTTGCCCCGTTTAACTTCTTAATTTTCAAGATTATCTCGTTCGCATGGCTCAATCACGTCCTGGTTGAAGTTTGTTCGCTACGCTCACTCACCTTTAGGTTGGAGCTCGTTCGCTACGCTCACTCACCTTTTTAGCTGTTGTCATAAATGTAAAAGAAATAATAGTGCTGCACCCTGTTGGTAATCCTTGTAACTTTAGTGCTATTGAACATCATAGAACAGAACCTACTTGTTTAATTGAAACAGCTGTTAAGATTCAATAATTCCATTTCTCATAAGGTTAACATGGGAAACTCCAGAGCCACTGGGGCGGAGCCCAAAAGGATTTTTGAAATAAGAATATGCCTATATGTTAATCGGGAATGTGAGCTATCATCATGCCAAATTTCAGCCCAATCCGACCAGTATTTTTTGCGTTCACTTGTCACAAACATACATCCATACATACATCCAAACTTTCTCATTTATAATATTAGTAGGATTTTGGATGACACAATGTATAAATATTTATGCAAAATAATGCATAGATATTTCGCCTAATACAAAATAATAAACTAAAACGAACATTACACTGTAAAATTTGGGATAAAACCCACACTTCGTCTTTGTTATCGGACAAAAACTCACGACGACGCCGCCATTTTAGGTTAGACGATGACAAGTGTTCTGTTCCTTTAGCTTTGAAAAATTTCAAAGCTTCTATTTGTGTGACCAGCCTAACAACATTGAATTCTACTGTCCTTCGTCTACAAGAGCATATATAAAACAACGTTTTTGTACTTTTCACATTGTATATAGGGGTCTATCCATATCAAGTGATCCAACAGGGGTTGCTTGACCATTTTTAAAATAAATAATATTTTTATCCTATATACCTTTATCAATTCTGGGTTCAAAAGTGATTTTAAAATTTTTTTATCTATTTTGTTACTCTTACGGCGGCCATTTTTGTTTTGCGGAACACGCAAATTTTTGCTCATGTAAGGGTTTGCGTTAACTTGCACAACTCAGTAACCATGAACACTAGAGTGATGAAACAAAAAGCATTTTAATCTGGAAGAAACAGCCTAAATATTATGTTCAGTACATATTTATTGAAATGTGTATCAAAAACAGTTTTAAACCCATCTCAACATTTCATAAGAAAACGGAAAAATTTCAACTTTTGAAGGCGTATTACCATTGGAAAGAATAAAATCTGAGACTTGATTTTTTTTTGTGTGTAGCAACTCAGTAGAACTGTTTGTATTTCAAATATCAACCATGAGACTTAATTCCTTTAAAAGTTATCATTTTTCAAAAACTGAAATTTTTTAAAAATTCAAATTTTGAGTCTCAATATCTTTGTTGGGACAAAGTTTAAAAATCTGAAATTTTTACCAAAAACCCCTCTTATGGTTGTTATACAGCTGTATGAATTTCATCTTTGAGATTTACTTTTAAGCTAAGTTACAGTATCATGAAAATCGCAAAAACCCCATAAGCTCGGCCAACACGGCTAGTACTGTAGGTAGCTTAAAAATTAATTTATAGGTGTAGGTAATTATTTTATTTAATGTAAACTTACCTAACTTACTTTAAAGTAATGTATAGCCTTTTTTTGCAAATTTCTTGTCTTATGTGAAATTAAAAAAAACTTTTTATCAGATTATTTTAATTCTGGTTTACACCTTTTTTTCAATAGGCCTAAATATTTTGAACTCTTTTATTAATTTATTGAACCACTTTCATTTTAATAAAGAATATTAGAAATTTAACATACAAAAGCTGTTTGAAAGACAAGTTCTTAAAGTATACAACTTTTTTTACTTGTTAGTGTTTTTTGTTCTACTTTGATCATGCTAATTAGGAAGTTTGGATGTTTCTTCATTCTGTTTGGGTTTGTCCTTCCAGTGGTTTTTGTCAGTTAAAAGAGATTTAATTTTCTCAAAACTTTGTTTATAGGCACCCAAGCTTGGTCTTTCTAATTTGTTTTAAAGGTGGTTGGTTGTTGGTCCTGCTGGATCTTTATTTTGATAACTGATGTCAATCACCTCTGCCACCCACCACTGTCATACACAAATGCAATAGAGTCTTTGGTACGAAGTGTAATTTTTACAGCTTTCAGTTGCTAGTGAGGTTACGAAGCACCTAACATTACTACTGGAATGTTACTGGAACATTACTACAGGAATAAAACAATGGAAGCTTCTTGTTCCTGTAATCTTTAAACAGTTCTCAAATCGGTCCAGGAGTTTGTTGTTGTGGTGTTGAGTGATTTCTTCATCTGTTATAAAAATGAATTATTTTGTTAAGAAAAACTGTGTTTTGTGACTCATTTACGACTTCCTGTAGGTACTGGAGACTGTATCAGTTCCCACAGAATATGAGTTATTTTTTTCAAAATACCACAATAAACACTTTATTGATTTGTGTTATACAGGTTACGGTACATTAAATCTAAATGGAAAATAAATTTTAAGACCTCAATATAAATAGAATTAACTAAGTTTTATTTAAGTTAAATGATGAATAATACTTAAAATTTAGCAGAATTTTATTTATTTTTAGTACCGTAGCGGTACATATAGGCCTAATTTGTACTTTGGGTACAAAGTTTAAGTAAAAAATCTGTTTTGGATTTTTGAAATGTACATTAAGATAAGTTTACATTAAATAAAATAATTACCTACACCTATAAATTAATCTTTAAGCTACCTACAGTTTTTTTTTTTTTTTTTTTTTTTTTTTTTTTTTTTTTTATGGGGAGGAGGTGAAAATGCATTTACGCACACTGAGGTGCTCAATGGCCACTCAGTAGTGCCGGACTCCCGCGGGCTCATTGTCCCCGGACTACCGGCTAAAAAACCCCCTCGTCTCCTAGGACACTAGCCTGGAACTGTTTCGCACATTACTTCGGGCTAGGCCTTTTGTACTACGCCCCTAGGGCTTTCCTTCTGGTTTCCTCAGAAAACTAAGGCCGATCGAGGTCGACCTTCTTATCCCGAAGTATGGCTTCAACGAACTGCTTTACACAGTTCCAGTTTCCTTCCCCTGTATCATAGCTCCAACGATGTTGTCGGGAGTAATACCTACAGTACTAGCCACGTTGGCCGAGCTTATGGGTTTTTTGTGATTTTCATGATACTGTAACTTAGCTTAAAAGTAAATCTCAAAGATGAAATTCATACAGCAGTATAACAACCATAAGAGGGGTTTTTGGTAAAAATTTCAGATTTTTAAACTTTGTCCCAACAAAGATATAGAGACTCAAAATTTGAATTTTTCAAAAACTTTCAGTTTTTGAAAAATGGTAATTTTTAAAGGAATTAAGTCTCATGGTTGATATTTGAAATATTTGATAGCTCGTTATAAGATCGATATACTTATGTTATAAGGTTCATTCTTATAATAAAATGAAACTTCAGAATCTCATCTTTCCATTGGTATAAGAGTTATAAATGTAATTTCAACAACTATAACTGTGCTTAAGATGCAACAGAAAAATCCGTTACGCTAATCAACAAATTTTGTCGCCCGCTACTCCAGCAACACATGTTGAAATGGACAATTTTTGAAGATTCGCCACTCTAAGGGTTAAATCATAAAAATTTATTGAGCCCAAACATAATATTTTTTAAAATTTATTTTATAATTTTTGAAAATCGTTAACCCCTTAGAAAATTGTTCGAAATTTTTATTGTTATGTTTTATATATTACATTGAAGCCCATAACTTTCCGAACAAAAGATATATAAAACAGTATACTTTAGAGTGTTTTTAAGTTTCTAAGATACATTATAATAAAACCCTGCAATTGCGCAATAAATGGGCCAACATTAATACCATTACTATGGACTGGACACTTGGAAGGTTAAAATGATAAACGTATGGATAGGTCAATATGCACATCAAATTAAAGGTCTTAGTTAGTAGAATACAATGCCACAAATTTGAGCTCAAAATACTACAAAACTGAGTAAAAAATGGCAGCTGTTCAAAGATTCAAAATGGCAGATTCAAGATATCTTTGAACGGCTGCCATTTTCGACTCGGTTATCTGTTTGAGTTTAAATTTGCGGCTTTGGCCTTGTATTCTACTAATTAAGAGTTTTAAAATGAGGGGTCACAACATGGGTCTTTACATTGATTGATTGATTGATTCTGTAGGGGCGGACCTTGTCCTGTTGCACGTCAGCCACTGATGGGCTTTTTGCGCTCCCCACATGGTACTTCAGAGTCCGTCAAACCTGAGTTGCTTAATGAACTCCAGCATCCTTTATCAATGAGCTCCTCCTGAGGGGTCTTTACATTTAAAAATCTTTAGTTGCTCCAAATATCTACCTACCCTTGGGGAGGAGAGTAAAATTTAGATTATTTGCAAAAAACTAGAAAAGTCATCATCATATATACATTTATGTTTAAGTTGCAAAATTTTATCTTACGCCGTTTAATTTATTTTAAGGTGTGTTAAGATAAATAAGAATATATGTGTCCTTGAATGTGTTAACTTGAGTAATTTTAAACCGATTTTGATGAAATTTGGCCTGAAAGTGTAGAGCGGATTAAACTTGAATGAGAACCAGCAAGATCAAGAATTGTGGGAAAAGGGTATTATGGAGATTTTAAATGTTGAAAATTATTATACAGTGCCGTTTTGATTTAGAAATTATGTTTACTTTATAGTAAGTAATTATTTTCCTTAATCTGCATTTTTTTATTTTTCTTAAAATTTTTCCCCTTAAAACATGGAAATTCCCAATTGTCAATTGATCCTGTTAAAGGTCATGGACTATTTTCTACTAAATAGAATTGGTGATTTTTCATACAGCTATGGTGTAGAAACAAACAAATAATTTTCAATACTTTTATTTTATTTATTTATTAACTTGGCCTAGGTTATAGCCTACAATAAATGTTCCAATAGCCTACTAAGTTGCATTTACCGTATAAAAAGGCTTGTCCGCATCATATCTTAGAATACTAAATGTCGTTTGCATCCTTTTCTTGAATCAGTGTGAACTTTTAATTGTACAAAAAAAATTCCTACTTCTAAATGGTAAACAAATTTGGCTTATTACAAATATTCAACAAAGTAGTAAATATAAAAATAATAACAGCTAAAGCAAACTTTATAACATGTAATAAAACAAGAACTACCGTACCTTAGTCTTTGCAGATAGTATCTAACTATAATGTTGTAAATACAAACACCATCTATTGCCTTATTCAATTTTTCTTAAGAAACTAGGAATATCTTATAGGGCGGTATGGTTTTGCTGCATAATGTTTTTGCGAAGATATTGCTTAAAAGTGCAGTGGACTTAACTGTTCTTATTTTTGGTATATTTTCCAACTAGGATGCTTCTCCAGCGACCTATGTGATTGTCACCGGCAGATCTATGTCATTCCTGTCAGATTGCCAATCTTGTATTCCTTGTAATCTCTGATGATGACAGTAGCCATTATATTGCTCATAGAGTAAATGAAAATAGAGGAAAATATTTATATATTAAAAACTATACATTCTATTTCCTTTAGCCCACTATGTGTTTAAATGTCATATGTTTGTTTGAAGTCATTATGCAATTTCAGATCAAATTTAGCAATTAAGTCGCAAGAGAAACCTGAAAACTCGAAGGAGTGTGAATCTGACGAAGTGTTAGCAGCCCCTCTTGCCTCAGTGACGGAAGAAAAAAAGAATCATACTGAGATTGTAAACTCTGACCAACAGGTAGGTGGCTCAGTCAGTAGCTCAGTCGGTAGCACCATGGACTTGGGCCCAAGGCATTGATTTTGTAGGTACGGATCCTGGCACCTCCCACTACTATTTGCGAATTTCCCTATGGGGAAGAAGCTATTAGGTCTCATGGTATGACCTGGGACCGGGACCAATTTACTTTTTAATTTTGATGTTCACACGGTACACGGTCAAAAACACTATTCGTTCAATTTTTTATATATATGTGTGTGTGTGTGTGTGTCCGAGAACGATAACTTGAGTAATTTTTGTCCGTTTTTGATAAAATTTGGCTTGAAGGTGTTAGGCGGGACAAACTTGAATGAGTTTGCTAACCAGCATGATCGGACTATGGGAACGAGGTTTTAACTGGCGGGGTTATATGGAGTAAAAATTGGTTTTCTTATTTTTGACCCTCAAAACAAAAAAATTCCCAATTTCTCTCTGTACCATTTTTAGGTAAAAAAAAACAAATAATTTAATGTATTTAAGGGTTTTTTAACAGTTATTGGTCACGGAAAAATTTTAAAAAATCGTACCGGTAAATTTAAAATTACTATGCTATTCATATGGAGAATAGGTAAACTGTTGTATGGAGATATTGTGATCAACCTTGGCAAATTAACTTAATTTATACTAAGCTATTGATATTCTACTAAAAACCCACTTCATTACTCTCCCTGTAGTATCAAACCTAGGTACTTGTTACACAAAATGTCATTTAAATAGATTTAATTGAAAATCCAATCGGGCAAATGGAAATTCACTTAGTCTGCAGGTTTGCTGCTGCTGGGGTATTATTTATCAATGCAGTACCCTTGTACTGTACTGGCTCACCCCTTACTTTGCTGGATTTTATGTTCCTTTGTGGCCCATGTAATGCAATGTAAAAGAGGCCTCCAGCCAACCTTTTTTTTTTTAGAAAAGTTGTTAGAAAGTAGACGTTAGTTAACTTGCGTTCAATTGAGAATTGATTGTCATATCAAAACACATAGGTAGTTTAATTGGTGACTTTAACGTATAGGTTTGTAGTAAATTCTAATTACTGTTATTCTACAATATACAAGAACAGTCCAGAAAGTAATTAACTTAAGGTTAAACTCATGCCACTTCTTTACCCTGGAAATACAGGATTAAATAAATGAAGATTTAAAGAATAAACAAAAACATTGGTTTGCACTACAAAAAAATAGTGAGAGTGTTTGTACAATCACAGTTAGTCTGGCCGCCCGGACCCTAGTGTACTAGCCGTCCTGAGAATTATGGCTCATTCACCCCCACAGCCCACAACCCTCAGTCGCTGCACTGATGGCAAGTCGTCAGGGGCCAGATGTTTTTGGAAATGAGCAATAAACACTCCCCTCTACACCCCCCGCCATACCTCGGCCGCGCGCCCAGACTAGCTGCGACTGCTGTACTAAAAACCAATTTTTTTGTTAGCATCCCATCTAGACCTCTTATTCAAGGCTTACGTTTTCTTGATTTTTCCCCCTTATGAATGGATATAGATTCTAAAGGCTTTACTTTTTTTGTTCACAGGAAACAAGTGGAATGTTATCAACCCCTCCTCTTGTTTCACCTGTATTTAATGACATCAAACCAACTGAAGAAGTTCTCAATCAAGATAACAAGGATGATGAAATCACATATCAAGTTGAGTTCCAAAAGTAAGTAAACGTCACCAAGTATTTATCGCAGTACAGTGGAGTCCCAACAGTCTAACATAATCCAACCCCAAACCTGTTTCAGATTAACAAATATTGCAGATTAAGGAAAATTATTACCTACTTTAACTAAAGTAAACATAATTTTTAAATCAAACCGGCACTGTATAATAATTTTCTCATATACTAAATCCAAACCAAATAGGCCTATTATATTCCTTTCCAAAACATTATTTATTCCTCTTGTTTTTTTATCTTTGTATCCTTATATATAATACGTGAAGGTGATTTCTACGAAACACTACTCCTCCGTTAATAATGGACGGATTTTTACAAACGATGTGTCAAAATTAAGTAGTTTTTGTATAGACCCTTTCACCAATTCCTGTAATAAAAGTCCTCGGGCTTTGCCCCACATGTCATCAAAATCCCAATGTATTTCTTATGAAGAAAGGATTTTGTTTACTTAAACAGACAAATAATTTGTATTAATTACAGTTGTTCATAGTAGAGCGATCGTTTTCAGAGTGAGTTTGTTTTCAGTTTCGATAACAGGAGTGGAGTTATTGATGACATTATCTTTGATTCGACTCTTTTAAGACATCGGAAATTATGACTGTTGTTTGTTTTTAAATAACGCCTGTAATACTTGGCAATTCCTCGAATTCGAGCAACAGATGCACTAGTTGTATTTAATATTTGAAACATGTACTAACAAAAAGTACAGTTGGATAGCTGAGTTATAGAGCTTACCTACTTGTCTGTTCTAATGGGAGCGAGCTGGTCTTGTGGTAGAGTGTGGGGCTTCGGTGCCTGAGACCCGGATTCAAATCCTACCAATCACCAATGGTTTTTATCTAAATAATGCCCAACCCACCTGGGCTAGCCTGAAGTGATGTGTAAAACAGTTCCAGGCTAGAACTAACATCCTAAGATGTAAAGGTGGGACTGGGAAGTATTTGAAGTATTATTTGACGGCTCAAAACTGGATCCATCTGTCGTTTATGATTGGGCTTTTGATCCTAACTAAATATTTTGCTGGTCTTAAGTCAGTCAGTCACAAGGCTTTTACCTCATTAATTTTACATTCATCCTTTAGGCCTACTAATTTTTTCCTTAAAATACATAACCTGATTAGTCTGCATCATAGTAAGCATTGTACATTCATTAGAGTCTCGACTATGAAATGAAATGAAATGAAATAAACTTTATTCATTTGCAAACATGTGCACGAATGGCGTCATTACATTGGATCAAAATCATAATACTTAATCCTAAAAAAGTACAAGACATAATCACTATTGAAAATGTTCTTATTCTAATATATTATGTAGAAGGAAATATTCATTCTTTGAGTACAGGGGTTTAGTTAAAAAGTACATTTTTAGCTTATTTTTAAATTTTTTAGTTTTTGTATAGTCCTTTAATTTTGTTGGAAGAGCATTGTAACATTTTATACCCATACACATTGGTTTTTTTTTCAAAAAATCTTAATCCATGGGAAGGTGTTGCATAGTTATTTCTGTTTCTGGTACAGTATTGATGAGAATCCCCTACCAGTGAGACATTATTTGAATTTTGGACAGTATATAATATACATTGATAGATATAATAGCTATATACAGTCATTATGCCTAGTTCTTCAAATTTTTCCTTAACAGAATCTTGCCAATCCAAATTTAACATAATGCGGATTGCTCTTTTCTGGAGAATTAAAATTCTGTCTAAATTAGCTTGTGATTTTCCTCCATAAATACTTATACCAAAGGATAAATGTGAGTGAATATGAGCAAAATAAACCAATTTTAGTGATTCAAGTTTACAAAATTTTGATAATCGATAAAGTGCAAATAGGCCTGTTGACATTCGATTTGCCACATGATCAATATGATAATTCCAGCTAAGAGCAAGAAGCAGGAGACCATAACGATGCCTCACCTGGTTATAACTTAAGGTCTAGAAAGAGGAAGATTTGAAATATATATTGAGAGTTTTGGGGGGGATGATTGACGTACGATGATTAATCATGTATAGAGAAAACCCCTCAATAGATATGTCCTATTTGTTTTCCAAAAGACTGTTTCCTATAAATAAACAGTCATATGTTTTTAAAATTGTTTTGTCAACAACAGATAATAATTTAGTGTTTTTTGTTGAATGAAATAAAGAAGATGGTTTTTTGTTAATATTCATTTTGTCATTTTTTAATGTTTGATATTAAATAATCATCCGTGATATCAAAGTTATTAAATCAAGTATAGTGACGACTTCATTATCAAAACCCAAGAACAATTTTATACACAAAGAATCTCTGGTGCCTGACCTGGATGATGCCTACAACTCTAAATATATCTTTAAATTTGTTTCCAAATGCTGAATTTGTGTCACAAATGCTGAATGTTTACAGCTGTTATTTTAAGCAAATTATATTGTACTAAAAGCTTAGAAGGTTAGCGTCGGCTGCTAGACTTTTGAAAATTAAAACTTAATTTTTTTTTAAACTGGGACCCTTATTTATAATTATGGCTTTGACATTCCCTAGTTCTCAAAATAATCTTTCTTTCAACACAAAAATCATGAAAATCCGTCGACTGGTTGATTCAGAATCGTGGAAAAACCCTTTTACGTTTTAATATACTGTATATGATAGTTTTAACAGGTTTCAACCCTTCCGAGGCTTAATATATGTAAACAGTTTATGTGTACACAGGGTGTCTAGTAGTCGGGAAAATCGGGAAAGTCGGGAATAAGTATTGAATTTCAAAATGGTCTTGAAAGTCGGGATTAAGTCTTAAATTTGATTTCAAAGTCGGGAATTTTCATGATTTTGCCGCGATCGTCGTCTTGTGTTTACGTAACCGCAAAAGCCAATGATGATGTCTACACGGCCTCGGGAAATGTTCACGATTTTGCCGCGATAGTGGACGACGACGATGACGTTTCCGAAACCACGAAAGACGACTGTGACAGCGGGAGACTACGATGACGTTTCCGTGACCGCGGTAGACGACGATGACGTTTCCGAGACCGCGGGAGACGACGATGACGTATCCGTGACCCCGGTAGACGACGATGACGTTTCCGTGACCGCAGGAGATAACGATGACGATGACGTTTCCGTGACCGCAGGAGATAACGATGACGTTTCCGTGACCGCGGGAGACGACGATTATGTCTACAAGGCCGCGGGAAATGTTCATGATTTTGCCGCGATCGCGGACGACGACGATCACGTTTCCGTGACCGCGGGAGATAGGGATGACGTTTCCGTGACCGCGGGAGACGACGATGACGATTCCGTGACCGCGGGAAATGTTCAAGAGTTTGTCGCGATCGCGGACGACGACGATGACGTTTCCATGACCGCAGGAGATAACGATGACGTTTCCGTGACCATGGGAGATGACGATGACGTTTCCGTGACCGCGGGAGACGGCGGTGACGTTTCCGTGACCGCGGGAGACGACGATGATGTCTACACGGCCGCGGGAAATGTTCATGATTTTGCTGCGATTGCGGACGATGACGATGACGTTTCTGAGACAGCGGGAGACGACGATGATGTCATTGATGTCTACAAGGCCGCGGGAAATGTTCATGATTTTGCCGTGATCGCGGACGACGACGATCACGTATCTGTAACCGCTGCAGTCAATTATGATGTCTAAACGTACGGTACGTGGAAGATTTCATGAAAAAAAAATTTGCTAGTTTGAATTTTTTATTGCTGCATAATTTCTTTACTTGAAAACACCACATTATCATAATACTACTTTATGACAAAGACAGGGGTTGGTGTAGTATTATTCAGAAAATTTTGTTAAGCTATAACAATTGGTATCGGTATCAAGAATCGAGAATCGATACATTTTGGTATCAACACGCACTAATTGTTGAAAAAACTAGTCTTGAAAAATCTGGAATTAGTCTTGAAAAGTCTGGAATTAGTCTTGAATTTTATAATGGAAATAAACTAGACACCCTGGTACATTATAACTCATAATAGTTCTAAAATTAAATGGATCTCCTTTTACAAACGTATATAATAACCAGACATTTTGAGATCGTCCTCACCGCAGCGTCAAAATTATTGTTACCTCTTCTTAGGTGAAATATCTCTCAAACCAGAGTGTACCATACACTTTTCCATAAACGTATGTGTAGCATATAATTATTTACAGTTATTTACAGTTATTACAGTTTACCCTATTTACAGTTTTGACCAAACAGTTGGCAAGAAGCATTAATAGATAAGCTATTTACAAAATATGATAATTTTAGCTCTATTCTAATTATCACAAAACACGAAGTAACTAAAAGCGAGTTTTGTTGGTGTAGTAAGCGTTGCAGGAGGTCTACTTTACACTGAATCAACGTTACTGTTTAATTGCTTTTGACCTTCCGGCACTGTTGACTCAGCGAAACTGAACTTGTATTTTATCGTATTTCGTCATATTAAAACTGCTGTTGCATTAGGTCAAATTCCCAATGTGTCAATCGCTTTAACATAGACTACATTTTTAGCACGGACTGTATTATTTGACTTAGTGGGATTTTTGATCTACAGACACTGCAAACATTGTAGTTTTTGACCTATCGGCACAAGTATAAATTATTTGACCTTCCGGCACTGTTGACTTCCAGCAACATTCCCGACCCATCAACTTGGTCAGCTACAAAAAATAAGGTAGAAAATAGAATTTTTTACAATAGCGCAATTCTGTGATTGGCTCACACAACTACATTCATTTTTAACACGTTGAGTGCGGGCTACAGCAAACAGGCTCTCACCATTGGCGGCAAAGCCCCGGCGCACCACCAAATCAGCAAAGACAATTGGCATTAAAATATTTCAGTCTGACGAATCACAAAAGAGCAGCGGTGATTGTGCTTCGTTACCGCGAGAGCAGGGCCGATTTACCGAATAGGCAAGGTAGGCACGTGCCTAGGGCGCGAGGCAATTGGCTTTTTTGGGGGGCGCCAAAAAATTGGAAAAAAGAAAAAAATTTCGGCCGTTTTTGCATGCCATCGCGGTAAACTGATAATCCCTTGCGGCCGTGAAGACACGTTAACAGTCTCCCACAATTGCGGCAAGATGTTAATTATTTACTGCGGTTGTATATACGTCATCATCGTCCGTCTCCCGCGATCGCGTCAAAGTTCTGACTATTTCCAGCGGATGTGTGGACATGATTATCGTTTTCCTTGATCACGGTAATATATTATGAACACATCCCGCGGTCGTGATGAGATTATCACCGTCTACCGCGAATGAGGCAAAATTGTAATCTTTTCCCGGGGTCGTGTGGACATTATCATCTTCTTGCGTGATCACGATAAAATTCTGATAATCCCTCACAGCCGTGAAGACATCATCGTCTCCCGTGGTCGTGAGGCATTGTCATCCTCTCCCGCCATTGCGGCAAATGGTAATCATCTCCCGCCGTTGTTTGGAGATCACCATCGTCTTTCACGAATGAGGCAAATTTCTGATCTTTCCCGTGATTGAGTGGACATTATCATCGTCTTACGCGTTTGCGATAAAATTCTGATCATCCCTCGCAGCCGTGTAGAGTAGACATCATTATTGTAACTCCCGCGATCCTGTAGACATCGCAATCGTCCCCCGCTGTCGTGAAGACATCATATAATCGTCTCCCTCGGTCGTGAAGACATCGTAATCGTCTCCCGCGATCGTGAAGACACCGTAATCGTCTCCGCGCGATCGTGAAGACATCGTAATCGTCTCCCGCGGTCGTGAAGACATCGTAATCGTCTCCCGCGATTACAGCAAAATGTTAATAATATCCCGCAGTTATGTGGATATCATTATCGTCTTCCGCGATCGTGGCAAATTTCAGACTGTTTTCCGTGGTTGTGTGGACCATGATCATATCCCGCGGTCATTTAGTCATTACCATAGTCTCGCGCGATCGCGGTAAAATCATGATCATATCCCATGGTCGTTTAGACATTATCATCGTATCATGCGATCGCGGCAATATTCTGATTATCCTTCACGGCTCTGTGGATCTCATTATCGTATTGCGCGATCGCGGTAAAATCATGATCATATCCCGCGGTCGTTTAGATATTATTATCATCTCATGCGATCACGGCAAAGTTCTGATCATCTCTCGAGGCCTTGTGGAGACATATTATCGCCTCCCGTCTCCCGTGGTCACGGAAACGTCACTGTTGTAAATTGACAATTCCAGGTAGAAATAGAAAATTAACACATAATTCCTGGTTCAAAAAAATTCACGCTTAGTTCCCGGATTTCCCGGTTGGTGGTCACCCTGTTATAAATTGCAAAGGGGCGCTACTATTAGTTGTGCCTAGGGCGCTGACATGGTCAAAAACGGGCCTGCGCGAGAGTGGACGGGAATACCCAAAGGTAGCAGCACTGCCTGGTTCCGTAGCCAGTGTCTTTGTAATGTGGCTCAAAGAGAGAAAATCCTCGAAATCGGAACAAAAGCATTGCCAGACAGGATTTTAGAAAATTTTAGTAGGTACCAACCTACACCAAAATAAAGCTTGCATTATAAGCTACAGGCTGACAACGATTATAACGACCCCCGGCAATGGCTGAGCTCATACTGAACTAATGTAGTCAGAGTGGTGCGATTACATCTATAGATGTAGGCTTTTAGGAGCGCTTGTGACGCACTATATCAATAGATGTAGCCCACACTATACGTGTTAATAAAGAATTAATGACAGTTGGTCCATATGTATATATATGGGATGTCTACTTCAGTATCCAATAGTCAATGGTACAAGTGAAGGAAAAAAGTATCAACAGGTCCCACTAAGATAACTTAAGTAATTTTGGTCAGATTTTGATGAAATTTGGCTTGATGGTGAAAGCATGTTGAATTTGAATGAGATTGTGAACAAGTACGATCAGGTTGTAGGAACAGAGTTTTATGGGGTTTTAAAATGTTCCAAAATTGTTTTTTTTTCAAATTTTTACTCTTAAAAACATGGAAATGCCCAACTTTTATTGCATCTATTGTGTAAATCTTTTAAAGTTACAAGGATTACCAACAGGGTGCAGCACTATTATTTCTTTTACATTTATGACAACAGCTAATTTGCAACCAAAAGGTGAGTGAGCGTAGCGAACGAACTTCAACCTGGAGGCGAGTTAGCGTAGCGAACGAGCTAACCTGAAGGCAAGTGAGCGCAGCGAACGAGCTCCAACCTAAAGGTGAGTGAGCGTAGCGAACAAACTTCAACCAGGACGTGATTGAGCCATGCGAACGAGATAGTCTTGAAAATTAAGAAGTTAAACGGGGCAAAGCCCGCGGGTTACAGCTAGTTATTTATATACATTCTATGTCCTTTAAACTACTATGTGTTTATAAATGACATATACGGTTGTTTTAAGGCATTACGTAATTTCAGATTAAATTTATCAAACAAGTCGCAAGAGAAACCTGAAAACTCGAAGGAGTGTAAAGCTGACGAAGTGTTAGCAGCCCCTCTTGCCTCAGTGACGGAAGAAAAGAAGAATCATACTGAGATTGTAAACTCTGACCAACAGGTAGGTGGCTCAGTCAGTAGCACCATGGACTTGGGCCCAAGCCATTGATTTTGTGGGTACGAATCCTGGTACCTCCCACTACTTTTTATTAATACAGTACACCCTTCTACCGTACCGGCTCACCCCTTGCTTTGCTAAATTTTATGTTCCTTTGTGGCCCATGTAGACAGGCTAATGCAATGTAAAAGAGGCCTCCAGCCAACCTTTTTTTAGAAAAGTTGTTAGAAAGTAGGTGTAAACACAACTTACGTCAAATTGAGAAAAGATTGTCATATCAAAACACATAGTTTGATTGGTGACTTAAACGAAAAAAATTTTCGTAAATTCTAATTACTGTTACTCTACAATATACAAGAGCCTTTGAGAAAGTAATTAAACTTCAGGTTCAACTCATGTCACTTCTTCCAGGGGAAATATAGGATTCAACAGACAAAGATTAAAAGAAAAACTTTGGTTTGCACAAACAAAAAATTAAGAGAGTGTTTATCGAAAACTAATATTTTTGCTCGGAATACTCATCTAGACCTGTTATCCAAGTATGCAGTTACCGTCAGGCTTACGTTTTCTTGATTTTTTTTTATTAATGTATATTTATATATTCTGAAGGTTTTACTTTTTTGTTCATAGGAAACAAGTGAAATGTTATCAACCTTTCCTTCTGCTTCACCTGAAATTAATGTCATAAATACAAATGAAGATGTTCTCAATCAAGAGAATAGGGATGATGAAATCACAAATCAAGTTGTCTTCCAAAAGTAAGTAAATATAAAAGGATTTATTGCTATTCAGTGGAGTCCAAACAGTAAAAAATAACTGAAAAAAACTCAATTCAGATGAACAAATATTGTGTCATTTTCAATACCACCACAATGGATATATTATTATCTTCTGTATATTACTTTTCTGTTTATCCGACCTTGTCGTGGATGATTTGGACAATTAATTGATACTCCACTGTAGGGGTCTCTAACCTTTTTCCATTGATGCCACATTGTAAAGTTTTAGTGGAAGGCAGTATATTTCAGTGCAAAAAGTTTAACAAGAAAGTCTAGATTGGAAATTGTATGGGAATTTGGTTTTAACGGGAGGAAGACAATGAATTGCTCCTATTTCTGGTTTAGGCCGAGAATTCCATCAATATCCAATGTCCACTTGTTCCCCTTAATGAAACAAGGAGATTGCTATGAACAGTGACGAGTGCTACCGCGCTCGTGGAAGACGATCATGGTAGCGCAGAGACTATAATATATATACTCATGAGTGTTGCCGAGATCCGTGGAGACAATCACAGTATCACCGAAACTGATTTATAACGTCCCAAGTGTTGCTGGGATCGTGGGAGACGATTAGAGTATTGCCAAGACCAATTTATATGCTCACAAGTGTTATCATGCTCTACTGTACATTAGACAAATTAGCTGTAAGGACAACGTGTCATCACAGCCTATATCTATCATTCAGTAATGTGCGTGTTGTGGTTATTGCAGTGGTCGTATACAGACAGAGACAAAGAGACTGCTTGGGATGGCAGAGCAGTGGCAGGCCATAGTGCTGCGGGACACTCTACCTGACCATGTGGTGGATGAAGTGGACAGTCTGGTGGGCCAAACCCGTCTCCTCACAAGTGACAAGTTCCAACAATTCCGTCGACTTGTAGTGCAGTATGAACAAAGAACTGGAACCCATCCTATCACATTGGATGATCTAAATGGCTTTTGGGACATGGTGTATTTACAGGTATTGTAGTCTCTTTTATTCCAAAAATAACCGTCTCTTAACCTGGAGTAGTGCCTCTGAATGGGTAATAAAAGAGCTTGGTTTATCCCCCCTGAATTTTAAAACTGGTTAGGCCTAGTTAAAAAATCCTTTAGTAAAAATGTGAAGACTTCCGTTCCAATCCTTCATATCTCATCTTACTGGTGCAGATTAATTAAAGCCATAAAAGCACTTCTCCAAATAGTTAAATTATTGCGGACCCTAAGAAGTTGTTTTATTGAAAGACCCCAAAGATAGTTTATAAGACTAGTTTCTTTATTTACTTTCCGTAAAAACTACTCATTACCCGTGTTCAAAATGAATAGTTTATTCGGCACCAATGTTCAAAATTAATATTTTTAAATTCTTAGCTAATAAAATAACCCATTCTCCTTGATGAACATCACAAAACTAATATTTTATTTAACCGTATGACATTTTCAATTATTAATCATTAATAGCAAGTATTAGTCATAATGAAACAGTAGAAAATCAAAACATAATACATAATCTTAATTTATCAAATTTCTCTCAGGGGGGTTTCTCAGGTCATCAGCTTCACCAGTTTGGTTACAGGTCTCCTCCAGACTCCGGTGGCTGTTCGGACATCCCCTACTTTATCTTGGCCATCTCGCCCAGGGTGTACCGCCTCCACTATGCCCTTAGCCTAATGTCCTCTGGCTTGGTTTTCACCCTCATCCGTTATAAGGAACATGTTTCCGACTTGCAGATTTTCTTGTCTTGTGTCCCACTTGTAGCGTTTGTTGAGTAAGGGCAAATATTCTCTCAGCTAACATTTCCAAAATTGGTCTGCCAGGTCCTGTGAGATCTTCCATTGCCTATGCAGGTACTTCTCCTTTATAATGACAGTTGGTGTGACTCTATCTGCTCCTCCCTGGAGAAAGTGGTTCGGTGTCAAAGGGAGCTAGGGATTAGGGATTAGGGATTAGGGTCTTCTGATACAGGGAATAAGGATCTATTGTTCAATATGTATTCTACTTCACATAATAGAGTTGTCAACCTTTCTTCTTTGGGAGCTTGGGCATTTAAAATCAATCTTAAACATTTCTTCACAGATTGTATAAGACGTTCGTGCACCCACCCATGTGAGGGCCGACGGTGGTAGAAAAGTCCACTTCATTATCTTCCCCACGCAGAACGTCTTAATTTGTTCATTGTCAAACGACTCAAGTACTTTTTTTATTCCTTCTCTGCACCATTAAAGTTGGTACCATTGTCTGATATCAATTGGGAAGGACAACCCCGTCTTGCTACAAATCTCCTACAAGAATTGCCGAGTCCTTATTGAGAGAAGCTGCAATCTCCAAGTGTACCGCTCACACTGACAGATATGTGAACAACACTCCATATCGCTTTTCTCTTCTGCGACCTATAATAGTGACATCCAGAGGCCCAAAATAATCCGCAGCCACACAGGTGAATGGATGTCCATAAGGTTCTAATCTGTTCGCTGGAAGGGGACCCATCTCAGGATTTTTAGGTGTGTTTCTGCACAGCTGACATTTCTTACAATTTGCCCAACAGCTCCTAATTGCTCGCTTCAAACGGATTACCCAAAATCGTTGTCTAAAATTATTTGCCACAGTTTCTTGACCCTAATGAGCTGCCTGTTCATGTTCATGTTGGATCAATAGGACTGTAAGTCGATGTTTAGGATCTAAAATTGTTGGATTTTTCAAGTATTGACTGATTTAGTTCCCATATTCAGTCCTTCCTCTCATTTTCAATAAGTTCCCTGACAAAATAGGGCTTAGCTTATAAAGTCTACTTTCTCAAGGAACTGGCTTGTTCTCCTCAAGATTCTTCATTTCTTTGGTAAAAGATTTTAGTTGTGAAAGTCTGAAGCAGGTTTCTTCAGCTGGTTTAAGCTCTTCAATACCAAGACTCGCATCTGTATTTCTCTCAGATTTACACCTCGCATTGGAAATGAAGTTTTACATCCATGCTACTGCTCTTATGAGCGAGTAATGTTCTTTTTTCTTACAGCAAAGACACATCCGCTTTCCAGGTTTTTTGTCACTTTCTTCTTGGATAAGCACATAGTTTTTTTTGTTTGAATTCCCACTTGTTGCACTTTTGTAGTTCCAAGTTAAAGATGACACACTAGGATCACATATAGTTGCTGCATCTGCCATAGAAGAAAGCCATGTTGAAAAAGTGTTCAGGCTGACAGGATGTTTTATTTGAGACTGGGGTGATGTGACGTGCATTCCCCAGTTAAGTTTCATGTTGGTGGATAGCTTATCCGTCAATTCTTCCATCAGTTGGGGGTTGAACAGATAGTGATCTTGCTAGGACTTCACAGTCACCACTAAGTTTCACACCATATCACTGAAAGTCACCAAAGTGTCAGGCTTGTAATCTTTTGTAGGTGGGCGACTTCTCACACTTGCAATTATGTTCTTAATTATGATTTATGGTCTTCCGAAACGATTTTCCAACAAATTAATAAATTCTTTTACGTTTTCGGGATATATCAATAGGGCTGAAATCATTTCCTTTGTTTTCCGGACAGGGGCTTCTGTAGTCTTTGAAGATTCTCTAAGTCCGTATAATCATTCAATTCAGTCGAATGATTGTAGGCCTACTCAGCTATCCAAGCGGGCCATTGGTCAAGATCACCGCTGAAGCTTGAAAGAGCAGATCAACACTCTAGCAGGCATCTTGTCTCTAACCAATTTCTCTACGTTAGTTAAATATCCTTTATTTAACACTACATTTCCATTTGATTCCCTTTGTCAATTGGATAACTTTGAGGTTTAGGTTGCATATGTTGAGGGGAACACTATAGATCTCGAAGAATATGCTTCCTATCTTTTCCATTGAGCTCCAGCGCTTCAGTCTTTGCATCTCAAGGGTCAGCACGATGTTCTTCTCGAGGCCAAATACTAGACTGATTGTCATGTCGCAGTATGAATTCTTCTTTTCTCAAAGTCTTCATCTCATTCATGCCACAAGGCTCCAAACCAAATTTCTGCTCAGATTTGTCAATTTCCTTCACCTGCATCCACTTTTCTACAGCTTCCTTAGTCGATATTGGCTCTTTTAGAGGTGAATCGAGCATCCGCCGTGATGACTTGCTACCTCTAGACGATCCCTGACTAAGAGGTGAAAGACCTTCAAGTAACCTCTTCTTGACTTCTATTTATTTTCTTCAGCTTGGCTTCTTCTTGCAATTGAGCAAGTCTTCTGTCAGCCAAAGCCTTTTCTGCTAAAGCATTTGCTTGTGCAGAAGAGATTATCACAGCTGTCTCCTCTTCCTATCTTTATAAGCTCATCAACAACTTCTATAACACTTCTATTTCCACTTTTACTCGAACTAGTTTTGTGAGATTTTGCTGTGTTAGGAACTGACTTACCACTTAACTTATCTTCACCATCTTGTTGTCTTACAAGGGTCATTGGACCTTGTTACAATTTCTTTATTTGACATTTAGTTGATTCCCGGGTTTCGGCACCAATGTTCTAAATGAATAGTTTAAATTCTTAGCTAATAAAAAAACTCATGCTCCTTGATGAACGTAACAAAACTTCTATTTGATTTAACCATATGACATTTTCAATTAATAATCATTAATAGTAAGTAGGAATTGGTCAAAATAAAACATGTGACTAAAAACACTACAAAATAAAAACATAATATTATATCTTTAACCACCCGGTTATAAATATATTTTTGCAAAATAAAAAAAGAGTGAATTCTAAACTAATAATGATAATAATAATAGATTATGTATTGTTAATGTTGTTGAACACTGAGCTGAGTTAACCCAAAATTGAATGTATCTGAAACAGAATTGTTTTTGTTGTAAATCAAATAAAAAAGATTTATATACCTGTCAATTATCTAGACGGAAGCTCCTTTAATTAATACAACATTTATTCTCTTATGTTGCTTGCATTTATGTACAATTTTCTCAATTATTCTATAAAACAACATTTTTTACATTATAAGAATTGTCTGTCCAGGTGGAGTCTTTAGACAAGCGATACACAGCATTGGATAGTCTCAAGAACAATAATTGGGTTATGCCTGAGCCAGAACGTAAAAAGAAACGACGTCCAGCCAAAAAACCAACCAAAAAAGAATCTGAAAAATTAATTAAGATAAAGGACAGCCTGAAACCAGAGTCCAAAGGTATAATTTTTTACTTTCTACCCCTATACAGAGGAAGTATATGGAGAAAGTATTGTTTTTGTCAAAATGAAGTGACGTCTGTATGTGTAGGTGTGTAGATGTGTACTGAGAATCCACCTGTGGTCTGATTTGGATGAAATTTTGTATGTAGTTATGGTACGCTTCCAGATCTATCAGTATCTTGAGGCTTTTTATGGTTTTTGAAATTTTTATTTTTAATAGTGATTTCTCATCAAATAATAGAAAAATTGGATTTTTACAACAAAGACCAGAACAATTTTAATTAAAGTTTAGTGTGTTGTGCTCCTTTTTACTCTAAATAAAATAGTGCAAGCTCTATTGTTTTAAAAATAATTGTTCAAAAGTTATTGCAACTTTTGTTATTTTCCCCATGAAATATTATGGTTACTCCCACCGCTTACCTATACCGCTAGGTTGTTGACAAGCTAATTGAAGAAAGTATGTGTCAGATTGCTGATACCGGTACCATTTATTTAATTACACTTTTACTCACTTATAACTTAAATACTAGCTGATTACCCGTCCTTCGTACGGGGTTGGCATATAAGTGCAAAATGTTTATTGCAGTGTTATACTCTAACTTAGCTTTTGCAATGGGGTAGGACACATTTGAACAAAACTGTTTACTATAATAAAATTTACGCTATACTATAGTATTACACATCTACCATAGCCATAATGTTCTACCACTGCACCTAAACAATAGAGAAAAATAATTAATTAAAACTTTGCAAAACATCACAAATTATTCATGCAATTAAAAACATAAACATAACAGTAAACAATCCTACTTTGACAGTTAGTTCTCATTGCCAATCACTGTTTTTTGTTGCTGCTTATAGTTCAAATAAGCTGTTTTCATAAATGCAAAAAAATAATAGTGCTGTACCCTGTTGGTAAATCTCATAACTTTTTAATACTTTCCATATCATAGAAACAACTTTTTTAGTTGAAACAGCTGACTAAATTCTTTAATTCCCTTTAAATATGAATACTCATAAGGTTAACATGGGGAACTACAGAGCCACTGGGGCGGAGCCCGAAAGGGTTTTTGAGATAAGAATATGCCTATATGTTAATCGGGAATATGAGGTATCATCATGCAAAATTTCAGCCCAATCCGTCCAGTAGTTAATGCGTGATTGAACTTCAAACAAACAAACAAACACAAACTTTCACATTTATAATATTAGTAAGATTAGTAATTAACATGTGTTATAATGGTGAATAATATGATCAACATGTCTTGTGTCTGTAACCTAGTGAATGTGTTAACATGTTGTCTACCAGGCGTCACACTCTTCTGTATGAGGTGGCTTGTGTCTCCTGATAGTGAATGTGTTAACATGTTGTCTACCAGTCGTCACTCCTCTGTATGAGGTGGCTTGAGTCTCCTGGTAGTGAATGTGTTAACATGTTGTCTACCAGCTCTCACACTCCTCTGTATGAGGTGGCTTGAGTCTCCTGGTAGTGAATGTGTTAACATGTTGTCTACCAGTCGTCACTCCTCTGTATGAGGTGGCTTGAGTCTCCTGGTAGTGAATGTGTTAACATGTTGTCTAACAGCCGTCACTCCTCTGTATGAGGTGTCTTGTGTCTCCTGGTAGTGAATGTGTTAACATGTTGTCTACCAGCTCTCACACTCCTCTGTATGAGGTGGCTTGTGTCTCCTGGTAGTGAATGTGTTAACATGTTGTCTACCAGCTCTCACACTCCTCTGTATGAGGTGGCTTGAGTCTCCTGGTAGTGAATGTGTTAACATGTTGTCTACCAGTCGTCACTCCTCTGTATGAGGTGGCTTGAGTCTCCTGGTAGTGAATGTGTTAACATGTTGTCTACCAGCTCTCACACTCCTCTGTATGAGGTGGCTTGAGTCTCCTGGTAGTGAATGTGTTAACATGTTGTCTACCAGTCGTCACTCCTCTGTATGAGGTGGCTTGAGTCTCCTGGCAGTGAATGTGTTAACATGTTGTCTACCAGCTGTCACACTCTTCTGTATGAGGTGGCTTGTGTCTCCTGATAGTGAATGTGTTAACATGTTGTCTACCAGCTCTCACACTCCTCTGTATGAGGTGGCTTGTGTCTCCTGGTAGTGAATGTGTTAACATGTTGTCTACCAGCCGTCACTCCTCTGTATGAGGTGGCTTGAGTCTCCTGGTAGTGAATGTGTTAACATGTTGTCTACCAGCTCTCACACTCCTCTGTATGAGGTGGCTTGAGTCTCCTGGTAGTGAATGTGTTAACATGTTGTCTACCAGCTCTCACACTCCTCTGTATGAGGTGGCTTGTGTCTCCTGGTAGTGAATGTGTTAACATGTTGTCTACCAGCTCTCACACTACTCTGTATGAGGTGGCTTGAGTCTTCTGGTAGTGAATGTGTTAACATGTTGTCTACCAGTCGTCACTCCTCTGTATGAGGTGGCTTGAGTCTCCTGGTAGTGAATGTGTTAACATGTTGTCTACCAGCTCTCACACTCCTCTGTATGAGGTGGTTTGTGTCTCCTGATAGTGAATGTGTTAATATGTTGTCTACTAGCCGTGTGTTTCCTGGTAGTGAATGTGTTAACATGTTGTCTACCAGCCGTCACACTCCTCTGTATGAGATGTCTTGTGTCTCCTGATAGTGAATGTGTTAACATGTTGTCTACCAGCCTTCACTCCTCTGTATGAGGTGGCTTGTGTCTCCTGGTAGTGAATGTGTTAACATGTTGTCTACCAGCCGTCACACTCATCTGTATGAGGTGGCTTGTGTCTCCTGGTAGTGAATGTGTTAACATGTTGTCTACCAGCCGTCACTCCTCTGTATGAGGTGGCTTGTGTCTCCTGGTAGTGAATGTGTTAACATGTTGTCTACTAGCCGTGTGTTTCCTGATAGTGAATGTGTTAACATGTTGTCTACTAGCCGTGTGTTTCCTGATAGTGAATGTGTTAACATGTTGTCTACCAGCCGTCACTCCTCTGTATGAGGTGGCTTGTGTCTCCTGGTAGTGAATGTGTTAACATGTTGTCTACCAGCCGTCACTCCTCTGTATGAGGTGGCTTGTGTTTCCTGGTAGTGAATGTGTTCACATGGTGTCTACCAGCCTTCACTCCTCTGTATGAGGTGGCTAGCGTCTCCTGGTAGTGAATGTGTTAACATGTTGTCTACCAGCCGTCACTCCTCTGTATGAGGTGGCTTGTGTTTCCTGGTAGTGAATGTGTTCACATGTTGTCTACCAGCCTTCACTCCTCTGTATGAGGTGGCTTGTGTCTCCTGATAGTGAATGTGTTAACATGTTGTCTACCAGCCGTCACTCCTCTGTATGAGGTGGCTTGCGTCTCCTGGTAGTGAATGTGTTAACATGTTGTCTACCAGCCGTCACTCCTCTGTATGAGGTGGCTTGCGTCTCCTGGTAGTGAATGTGTTAACATGTTGTCTACCAGCCGTCACTCCTCTGTATGAGGTGGCTTGTGTCTCCTGGTAGTGAATGTGTTAACATGTTGTCTACCAGCCGTCACTCCTCTGTATGAGGTGGCTTGTGTCTCCTGGTAGTGAATGTGTTAACATGTTGTCTACCAGCCGTCACTCCTCTGTATGAGGTGGCTTGTGTCTCCTGGTAGTGAATGTGTTAACATGTTGTCTAACAGCCGTCACTCCTCTGTATGAGGTGTCTTGTGTCTCCTGATAGTGAATGTGTTAACATGTTGTCTACCAGCCGTCACTCCTCTGTATGAGGTGGCTTGTGTCTCCTGGTAGTGAATGTGTTAACATGTTGTCTACCAGCCGTCACTCCTCTGTATGAGGTGGCTTGTGTCTCCTGATAGTGAATGTGTTAACATGTTGTCTACCAGCCGTCACTCCTCTGTATGAGGTGGTTTGTGTCTCCTGATAGTGAATGTGTTAATATGTTGTCTACTAGCCGTGTGTTTCCTGGTAGTGAATGTGTTAACATGTTGTCTACCAGCCGTCACACTCCTCTGTATGAGATGTCTTGTGTCTCCTGATAGTGAATGTGTTAACATGTTGTCTACCAGCCTTCACTCCTCTGTATGAGGTGGCTTGTGTCTCCTGGTAGTGAATGTGTTAACATGTTGTCTACCAGCCGTCACACTCATCTGTATGAGGTGGCTTGTGTCTCCTGGTAGTGAATGTGTTAACATGTTGTCTACCAGCCGTCACTCCTCTGTATGAGGTGGCTTGTGTCTCCTGGTAGTGAATGTGTTAACATGTTGTCTACTAGCCGTGTGTTTCCTGATAGTGAATGTGTTAACATGTTGTCTACCAGCCGTCACTCCTCTGTATGAGGTGGCTTGTGTCTCCTGGTAGTGAATGTGTTAACATGTTGTCTACCAGCCGTCACTCCTCTGTATGAGGTGGCTTGTGTTTCCTGGTAGTGAATGTGTTCACATGGTGTCTACCAGCCTTCACTCCTCTGTATGAGGTGGCTTGCGTCTCCTGGTAGTGAATGTGTTAACATGTTGTCTACCAGCCGTCACTCCTCTGTATGAGGTGGCTTGTGTTTCCTGGTAGTGAATGTGTTCACATGTTGTCTACCAGCCTTCACTCCTCTGTATGAGGTGGCTTGTGTCTCCTGATAGTGAATGTGTTAACATGTTGTCTACCAGCCGTCACTCCTCTGTATGAGGTGGCTTGCGTCTCCTGGTAGTGAATGTGTTAACATGTTGTCTACCAGCCGTCACTCCTCTGTATGAGGTGGCTTGCGTCTCCTGGTAGTGAATGTGTTAACATGTTGTCTACCAGCCGTCACTCCTCTGTATGAGGTGGCTTGTGTCTCCTGGTAGTGAATGTGTTAACATGTTGTCTACCAGCCGTCACTCCTCTGTATGAGGTGGCTTGTGTCTCCTGGTAGTGAATGTGTTAACATGTTGTCTACCAGCCGTCACTCCTCTGTATGAGGTGGCTTGTGTCTCCTGGTAGTGAATGTGTTAACATGTTGTCTAACAGCCGTCACTCCTCTGTATGAGGTGTCTTGTGTCTCCTGATAGTGAATATGTTAACATGTTGTCTACCAGCCGTCACTCCTCTGTATGAGGTGGCTTGTGTCTCCTGGTAGTGAATGTGTTAACATGTTGTCTACCAGCCGTCACTCCTCTGTATGAGGTGGCTTGTGTCTCCTGATAGTGAATGTGTTAACATGTTGTCTACCAGCCGTCACTCCTCTGTATGAGGTGGCTTGTGTCTCCTGGTAGTGAATGTGTTAACATGTTGTCTACCAGCCGTCACTCCTCTGTATGAGGTGGCTTGTGTTTCCTGGTAGTGAATGTGTTCACATGTTGTCTACCAGCTGTCACACTCTTCTGTATGAGGTGGCTTGGGCCTCCTAGTAGTGAATGTGTTAACATGTGTTCTACCAGCTGTCACACTCCTCTGTATCAGGTGGCTTGTGTTTCCTGGTAGTGAATGTGTTCACATGTTGTCTACCAGCCTTCACTCCTCTGTATGAGGTGGCTTGTGTCTCCTGATAGTGAATGTGTTAACATGTTGTCTACCAGCCTTCACTCCTCTGTATGAGGTGGCTTGTGTCTCCTGATAGTGAATGTGTTAACATGTTGTCTACCAGCCGTCACTCCTCTGTATGAGGTGGCTTGTGTCTCCTGGTAGTGAATGTGTTAACATGTTGTCTACCAGCCTTCACTCCTCTGTATGAGGTGGCTTGTGTCTCCTGATAGTGAATGTGTTAACATGTTGTCTACCAGCCTTCACTCCTCTGTATGAGGTGGCTTGTGTCTCCTGATAGTGAATGTGTTAACATGTTGTCTACCAGCCGTCACTCCTCTGTATGAGGTGGCTTGTGTCTCCTGGTAGTGAATGTGTTAACATGTTTTTACCAGCCGTCACTCCTCTGTATGAGGTGGCTTGCGTCTCCTGGTAGTGAATGTGTTCACATGTTGTCTACCAGCTGTCACACTCCTTTGTATGAGGTGGCTTGTGTCACCTGATCTGATAGTGAATGTGTTAACATGTCCTCTACCAGCCGTCACACTCCTCTGTATGAGGTGGCTTGTGTCTTCTGGTAGTGAATGTGTTAACATGTTGTCTACCAGCCGTCACTCCTCTGTATGAGGTGGCTTGTGTCTTCTGGTAGTGAATGTGTTAACATGTTGTCTACCAGCTGTCACACTCTTTTGTATGAGGTGGCTTGTGCCTACTAGTAGTGAATGTGTTAACATGTTGTCTACCAGCCGTCACACTCCTCTGTATGAGGTGTCTTGTGTCTCCTGGTAGTGAATGTGTTAACATGTTGTCTACCAGCCATCACACTCCTCTATATCAGGTGGCTTGTGTCACCTGATCTGATAGTGAATGTGTTAACATGTTGTCTACCAGCCGTCACACTCATCTGTATGAGGTGGCTTGTGTCTCCTGGTAGTGAATGTGTTAACATGTTGTGTACCAGCTGGCAGACTCCTCTGTATGAGGTTGCCTATGTCTTTTGGTAGTGAAAGTGTTAACATGTTGTCTACCAGCCATCACACTCCTCTGTATGTTATTAATTTATTTATTTTAATAAAAACTTTGAGTACTTATTTTTCATTGGTAAGCATGTCACTAGTACTAATTAGTTATTAATAAGTTTTTTACTTTCTCCTTCTATAGCCTACATAGTATACGGAGAAAGTATTGTTTTTGTCAAAATTTTCAAATTGGAGTTTTGAGTGGATATATCCGTTTAGGGTCCCCCTGAACCAAAAAAAGTGGTTTTCAAAATTATGTCTGTGTGTGTGGATGTGTACAGAGTTACAGAGCACACCTGTAGTCCGACTGATGAAATTTGGTATGTAAGTACTAAACCATGGTATCTCCAGTAGTTTTTTATTTTTTTAAATTTTGATCTTTAACGTTGATTTTCCCCATAAAAACCCATAAACTAAGGAAAAAATAGGATTTTCTCAAAATTGGCCTGAGCGATTTTTGATAAAAATTTAGTATGTTATAGTCCTTTAAATTATGAATAAGATGGTACGAATCCCATCACCGTATAAATTACTTTTAAGTTATTTTCACATAAAACCCTAATAAAATAACAAAAAATTGGAATTTAGAAAAAAAATCCGGTCTTTATTAAAATTAATATGTTACGAGCTGGTGGCTGGTGGCTACATACGGGAATCGAGTTGTCAACTAAATCAGAATAATTCAGAACATCTAGTTTACATGCATAGACACAAATTCTGGCAGTTTTAATGGGGAAGACCACCTTATAAACAAATGTAACGTAACCACCTATTTATTCCATTCGAATATAGACCTAAAATGTGGTGATAATGCATTTTAAATCCGATAATTTTACCATAAAACAGCATTTGTGTAGATTTGAAAAATCTTAAAGTGAGATTGGCGACCGATTCACACTGGTTTTGAATAGAGTAGCTACATGCCACCCCCAATTGCATACTGTACTACTTATGTACTTACCGTATCTTATCTTACCTCCGTGACCACTGAAACTTTTATTAGGATTCTCTTCTATCACCTGCCTCTTCAAAATTTAGATCCCAGTCTGAGGATGCATTTCATAACTTGATATTTCCCGTTTATCGTATGGTACTCCTTGGAATATACTTTTTAAAAGTTTATGCACAGCATGTTCATCCAAGCTACCTACTTCTGGAAAGCATCCCTATATTTGGGTGTTAACACATTTCTCTTAGCTCTCTGTTCTTTTAGCGAATTTCCCTATAGGGAAGTAGCTATTACCGTAGGTGGCACGGTAAGACCTAGACCCGGGACCGATTTACTTTTTCATTTTGATGTCCCCAGAGGCCAAAAACACCATTCGTTCAAATTTTTATATATGTATATATATATATAGACTATTATCAATAAATTAATAACTAAAAAAAAGGGTACTAAATGTTTAATTATTTATTTCATTTATTAATATAGACTTATATATATATACGTCCGTGAACGCGATAACTTGAGTAATTTTTGTCCGATTTTGATGAAATTTGGTTTAAGGGTGTAAAGCGGGATAAACTTGAATGAGTACGCGAACCAGCATGATCGGACCATGGGAACGGGGTTTTACGGGGGGTTTTATGGGGTAAAAATTAGTTTATCTCACTTTTGACCCTCAAAACACAAAATTTCCCAATTTCTCTTTAGACCTTTTTAAAGAGCTTAAAAAAACAATTAATTTAGTATTTAAAAGTATTTTTGTTCGGTTAATAATAACGGAGAAAATTAAAAAAATTTTAAATTTAAAATTCCCATGTTATTCTTATGGAGAATATTGTCAAATGTTGTAGTTTGCTTGCTTATGGATATATTTTGTATTTTGATCAAATTTATTTATTTTGTACTAAGCTATCAATATTTTACAAAAAAACAAACTTTATTAGTTTCCTTGTAGCAGCAAACCTAGGTACTCGTTAAACCTAATGTTATTAAAATATATTTAATTGAAAATCAATTAAGACAAATGGAAATTCGCTTAGTCGGCAGGTTTGCTGCGGCGGGGGTATTTTATTTCGACCTCCGGGCCGATATCTTGAACTGGTCTGTATATTTTCTCTGCACTTTATTATCTAACCCAGTATTAAGGTTTTTCGGTTCTTTGGTCAGTGCCCAAGTTTCTGAATCATCAGTACTACGGGGATAGTTGGTATGGTATGAGTCGTCTTTGGTTTCTGCTGCACCCTGCAGTTTATTTGACAGTTTTATAGAGACCTACTACACCGATTGACGCTTTCATTACTAACCAAAATTTTAGTATACCGACATACTCACATTCAAACATACAGAAAAAGAAGTAGGTATCAACACGTAAACCACTTATATCTTAAACAATTAAGCGATAAACGGCTGAAAAAATATTTCCCAAATATGAGTTGAAATTTGCAATGCATAAACTAAATACTGTACTTACAAATATTGCATTTACGACAAAACTTGAGTAAACGCAAGTGTTTGAGATGTTTAGTTCAAAATAACACATTTCCTGATAACGCAGATCCTTCACGGTAGAGGAAAACTACCTACATTTTAAAGTAAAATAGTATGTAGGCAAACACCAACGAACAATACTTTTGTAAACAAACAACTCGTAACATAAACATTATTCAATGACAGTTATAAACCAGCTGTTAGTTTAACCAGCATTGAAAATACTTAAAATTGCTAGCGTCGGCTGCTAGACTTTTTAAAAATTAAAACTTAATTTCTAAAAAACTGGGACCCTAAACTAAAATTATGGCTTCGACATTCCCTAGTTCTCAAAATTATCTTTCTTTCAACACAAAAATCATGAAAATCCGTCGAGTGGTTGATTCAGAATCGTGAAATAAAAAAACACTGTTTCGTTTTAATATTATAGATAGTCCTTTAGATTTTGAACAAAATGGTACAGATCCCATTCCCGTAAACATTACTGTCCAAAAGTTATTGTAGCCTAACTTAAGTTCCCCATAAAAACCCCTTACAATAAAAAAATCTAATTCGGATAAAAAGTTGGTTTTGAGTAAAATTAATGTGTTTTATGGTCCTTAATTCTAAACAAAATAGTGCAACCCCCATTGCTCTAACAATCACGGTTCAAAAGTTATTGCAGCTTTTGTGATTTTTCCATATCAAATATCATCGTTACCCCCACCGCTTACCACTGATTGTTGACAAGCTGATACCATTTATTTAATGTATGTTTTGACCTAGAAATTTTTTATATTTTATTTTTATTTTTATAGCTTGATGGTGTAGATGGTTTTATTATCTGATTCTCTTAAACTGAATTACATGTGATTATTTGTTTAAATATAAGTAGCCTAACATTGGTTATTTTATAGAGGAGCCAATACAGACACCCACTACAAGTGTGAAGCCTGTCATTAGCAGTGTGCTGCTGAACAGGAATCGGACACGCTCCAACTCTCCTTCACCTTACATAGCCATGCGACTCTCGGGGATAGGCAGACCATCCAGTGCACTTGTAAGCTAGAAATTCTATTTTAACAAAATATCCATTTTTGAGTTTTTGTTAGGCTTGGCTTAACTTATATAGAGTTTACATAGCTCAATTTCCTGAGAGAAAAAATGGCGTTACCAGGGCTGGTACGGTCAGGGAAAACCTGGAAAAGTCAGGGAATTTGGTTGGTCTGGTAAAGTTAGGGAATTATGAAAAAGTTCTGGAATTTCTCCTGAAAGACTACTTTTTTTACAGATATGCTACGTTTTGCTCTAAACATGTTTTTTATCAGGTTGATGACCAATGGCAAAAAGAACGACATAAGCACTGATGCACATTTTTATATCGATAGTTATTTATCGGTACATGGGAGGAATCGTTATGTACATAGTTTGAAACAAGTTTTGTATTTGGGAATGGTTAAATAAGTTAAATATTAAAATTTTTTCTAATATTTCTTGATTTTGATTGGTCGATATCGACTTGCGGTATACCTGGAAAAAGTATAAATATCAGTCTAGAAAACCTGGAAAAGTTAGGGAATTTGGTTTTCCAAATTTAGTACCAACCCTGTGTTACAAACCGCACTGATTCGTTACTGTAGGCAGAGTGAGGCAATGAGAACAACCCCTGATTTATAAACATACAAATTAAATACTATTAGCCCTATACAAATAAATAGGACATTAAGACAAAGCTTATCTCATGTCATTTGAACCTGATAAGAGTCATTTTTACATTTCTTGAGAACATAGTTCTTCAATTGAGGTGCTTAAAATATCTACATTTCTAATACCTACATTTGGTTATAAACAACATTTCTTGAGTTGCTATAAAACTATCAAATACTCGTTTCGGCAATTCTTCAGTTATTGAATTTCCTATGTTATTCATTGCTTTGTTTCGAGCAAATCCTTGAGGCAACCTTAAAAAACCTTGAACTTTAAACAACTCCATTGGTTGAAATCACAGTCAGATTAATCTGCCAACCAGACAGAAGCTGTATCGCTAAACACTTTTATCCAGTTCTATATAGTTTTTCAATCTGGAACGACTCCATCTCAACCAATGTTGAAATGTGTTCTAAACAACCTTTGAAATTAATCACTAATTTTAAAACATGTTTCCACAACAAAAGTACAGAGTTTATGACTCCACAGCATAGTGTTTCCTAAAATGGCATAGTTTAATTTAGGTTATTCAGGGCTGTCAGCGACTGGGAATTCCGGGAAAATTGGGAATCATGCGTGAATTTTAACCGCAGTGAAAACTGGGTAATATGCATGAAAATTAAGGTTATAAAGGTTTGTTAATTTCCTATATTTATATATTGTTTCTAGGTTCACCAAGCAACTAATGATTTGACACCAAAGAGTAAACTTGCTTCGCCAGAATCTTTTGGAACACCTAAGAGTGCACGGAAGAATAACTGGAAAAAGTTAACAGAGTCAACTAAAAAGAGAAGATCCTTATTGTCTACAATACCGTCACCTGCCGATATTAAAATTGAAGAGAATGAAAACACTGAAGTTAGAATAAAAATTGAAAAAAGTGTAGACACTAAAGATGCAACCTTTGAAGAAACTTTTGAAAATGAAGAACATGAAACTGGTAATATTTTCCTTAAAAATGTTGTTATGTTATGTTACCTATATATAATTTTTTTTAATACCCCCTCCGCAGTAAATAAAATAAATAAATAAATAGGACTATTCTTAGGGGACTATTTTCATTTTAGATTAATGATTAGATTATTCTCATTTAAATATTTCCTTAACTTAAACCTGTCAGCTTTATTCCCTACTAGCTGTTGTACCCGTGCTTTGCATCAGGAAGAGGACACAAAATAGAAACATTTCAATCTTTACATCTGCTGCATATAATAGTTACACATCGGCCAACGCTTTTAGAAACAAAATTCAACTTTTATGGCCTTAATAGAAATGTTTACTTAAAAGAACACTGTGTACTGCTTAGTTTTGTGATATTTTACTTGGTTTAATTTAATCAGTGGTGTGGTAAAACACAAATAATAAATTTATCAAATGAAGTAAATGTGAACTGTGACAGGTGGCCGAATGAAACAATGAAATGCGCTAAGAATAAGTCGTTTATTAAACTTATGACAAAACAATAATACGTAGCTTCCGACTTGCTGTATGATTAATCTACGTTTAGTTTACAAACTTCGAGAAGAAAGAGAGAATACAATTTCGGAATGAGTTGTTAAGATCTACAAAGTTAAGGTACAGATTTTCATGATAAAATATATTTTAGAAGAATGGGGAAAGGCAACGCGATGCGGAAATTTACATGACCGACCGAATTGAATTTAGAATTTAGACTAACTCAACTGGGTGTTCTCCGTCCATAGCGCAGAGTTGGGCGTGGAGGGGAACCAGCCAATCACGTTGCGGCTATGCCGCGTGATGTCAGTGCAAACGCTGGACAGTGCTGCTGCCTAACGATTCCTCAGGGCGTTAGGCAAACTGTAGCTGCGCATTATTAACTGATTTCATCGAGCGACCTGCTGAGCTGTCTCAGCGAATTCCAGCCACGTGCGTTACACTTTCGAGAACGTTGGCCTGGCCTAGCGCTGAGCCATGGCTGACGGAATATTCCATGGTGAGGCAACTGGCTGACGCAAAAAGTTGGGATGTTAACACAGTCCAATATTACAGACCCTCCTTTTATATTTGAAATAAATCAAAGCTTTTGTGACGGTATTGACAGGGTTTCTTGAGGGTGTGTAGCAAAAACCTCCCCAGCTGATATGCAATGGGTCTGGGAATTTTTGGGGCCGTCACAGAACTGAAAGTTATGTTAAGAAAAATAAGAGTATTTTGTATTACCATTTGATAATTAAATATAGTTACACATATACATCAGATTTTAGAACACAAAAATCAATGACGACGTACAATTTAGTTATTGATGATATTCTTTAGTTTAATTTAAGCATAGGTTTAGCAAAACACAATTACTAAATTTACCTAAATATACATATAAAAAAAAACCAATGTGATGTGCAAGTTATGTAAGTTAATCTAACACATGTTAAGCAGTTCGAATTTATTTAAAGTAGCCTACAAATTCATACAAAACATCTATACATTGTAATTTTCTTACTGTTTCCATGAAAATATATCAATAACATTATTTTCATAACACTTGAGACACTTCAAAAATCGAAAGCAGAGCCTAAGTTAATACAGCAACGCTTTTAGAATATTTTAAAATTTTTTTTATTTCTATCAATCATTGACACAGTTTTGAAAAAATGATCTTTGATACATTTTTAGATTAAATAAACCAACCACATAATTGTCTGAAATATTATATTTAATTTCATTGGATCAGCTGTCTTCAAATGTGAAATGTGCAATTTGGCAGTTCTTCTTTTTGTTTACATGGAAATGTCAAAGCAAATGTAAACATTGTGAGTATTCTCATTGCATCCATGGAGACCAATCAATATTTACTTTTAAAATCCTCACCTCAGAACTTTTAAAGCCAAAGGGGCAAAGCCCACGGTCAGTATCGAAGTATGAATAGTCATATAATGGTCCTTGGTATGGTAGCTATATTTTTGTGAAATTTAAGCCCAGTTGGTTCAGTAATTTTTGCACCTATTAGTAATACACATACAGACAGACACCATTAGATTTTTATATAATAGTATAGAGTATAGATTTAAATAGCATTAGGTTTAACAAGGTAGTACTTATGGTTTACTGCTACAGGGAGGGTAATAAAGTGTGAGTTTTTAGCGAATTTCTCTTAAAAGAAGTTAGTAGCTATTACCATAGGGGCAGGGTAAGACTTAGACCCGGAACTGATATACTTTTTTATTTTGATGTTTCTAGAAGCTACAAATATAATTCATTCAAATTTTTATTATGTATTGTTGTATGGATTTATGTATCAATCCGTGAACTCGCGATAACATAATTTTTGTCCGATTTTGGTGAAATTTGGCTTGAAGATGTAGGGTGTGATAAACTTGTATGAGTTTGTGAACTAGCATGATCGGAGCAAGGGAACAGGGTATTATGGGGAGAGGTTATTGTAGGGTGGACATTTTTTTGTTTTTCACCCTCAAAACAAAAAATTCCTCAAATTATCTTAAAATTATTTTAAAGAGCCTAAAAAAATAATTTTGTATATTAAAGTGTTTTTTATGGTTATTGGTTATAGAGATTTATTCAACGAATTTTAAATATCCATGTTATTCTTATGGAGAACGACTATTGTATTGTGCTTGTTTGTAGATATTTTTATTTTATTTTTTTTATTAGATATATTTTTTAACTTTACACATTTATTTATTTTATACTTGAAGCTATTAATATTTTACTACAAACACAATCTATTTCCCTCCTTTAGCAGCAAACCTAGGTACTTGTTAAACCTAATGTAATTCAAATACCTGTAGATTTAATCGGATATCCAATCAGGTAAATTGAAATTCACTTAGTCTACAGGTTAGCTGCAGAATGGGTATTTTAGTAAAATGTTTATGTCAGTATAAAATAAATAAATCTGACTAGGGGTGTCTAAAGCAGCAAAAAATGTTATATTCAATGCAACGATTCAATTCAAAGAATTTTTGATTGTTTTAACGTTTGTATCAAATCTTATAAAAATGGGATAGTTTGTTTTTTAGCTATTGTGCTAACAGACATACAGACACACACACATATACATTTTGACGGATGGTGCTTTTTTGGCATCTTAGAACATCAAAACAAAGTATTAAATTGGTCCTGGGTCTAGGTCTTACTGTGACACCTATGGTAATAAATAGCTTATTCCCTATTTGAGAAATTCACTAATAGAGATTTTCCACATTTCCCCATTTCACATAAATCTTCTATACTAGAATCCAATAGGAAGGCTCTTGCTATTATCCGAGCTGAGGCTTTAAGAATCACACATTTCTGCATATTATTGCTGAAATATTCTATATCTACTTATTAATCTATGAACAATAGATACTATCAGTGTCAATCTTCTCTCATATGGCATGGATTGATCCCAAAATTACAATTGAATAATTAATGCGACCAGCACAAAAATAAATTTTTCCTCAGATTAGCCAAATACTGTATTTGAGATCATTCTATTTGTGTGTAATACATACAACTCTTTTCCAGCAGCCGATGAAAATGTGCCGCCCATAACTCCTCGACGGTCCATGAGGTTGATGGCTAAAGTTGCAACTCCAGCCTCATGTTTGACCTGTGAAGCTAGCAGCTGCAAAAAGTCTGGTATGTTAGGCCTAATGCACACACTAAAATATACAGATAAACCCATACAAATGAAATTATCAATCAAATAATAGATATAGATATATTAGAGATGCTGAGATGGATGGAATTGTACTTATAGTTAGGGAAGGGACGTGGTTATTATTTCTGTACATATTTTAGACACATGGTTTTCCTCTTTTACACCAAGTAATACTCTTTTACTCTCAAGTATTACTCTTAAGTATACTCTTTTTACACCAAGATTTTTTAGTTTGTGTTTAAAATCTTGAGTAGCAGCTTTGTAGAAGTTCTTTAAAATGACAGTAACGACAAACAAAATCAATCTTCAGTCTTTACAGCACGTATTAAAGACAAACCTGTTCCCAATTATGACTCATCACACGACGTAACAGAAGATGTCTACTAAAAGTCGTTCAGGACTTTTCTCTTAAATCTTGATGACAGAAATGAAAGAAATATGTTAAAAGATATTCACTACAACATTAAATCCTCTAAACGACCATGAAACCAGTAGGCCTACTTTGACTGGTCTACTATGAAAAACAGTCCATATACCACATCAGGCCCACAAACAGATTTTATCTGGTCCGCCAAGGCGTACTGAGAAATAATTATTTTTATATGATGGTATACACCGATGATTGCCAAAGTCACAGCAACTAACACTCATGAGCATACAGTCTTTGCAATATCACAATTATTGTCACTCATGGTAGCGGCAAAACTTGTGATGTGAGCGTATCTTGCGGTGTCGGCGACAAAAAACTTCTCATCATTTGCAATGTCAAAACAAAAAATTATAAAACAAAGCAATAATTACATGCAAAGAATTATTTAAATAAAAATGCCTTCGCAAATGAAACACAACGACACCACGCTTCTGTATCGCGGGTATTGCATTTACTTTCTGCAGGTGTTTTTCGTATATGGATACTGATTCTTCCATGAATCGAGAAGGGCCTATATAAATTGAGTAACAAACAATGAGGTTAACAATACTTAATTTTTAAATGAATTGGCGACCATACAAAGTAGGTATTTTAAGCAAAGTATTGATGGAGATGAGTGGCACGAACTTGTTTGAAGGTAGCAAAGTCACCATCATCATTTTAGTTGATGAGATTTAGAATAAAGTACCTATACATTACAAACAAACAAAAATACTGTAGTAAACAAAAACATTTAAAACTGAACAGCCAACAATATAAGACAAAGATACAGAATATGCAATGACACGATTTGAGACCAAGTAGGCTTGCATCATGAAAAAAATAATCAAAATTCATGTTTTTGGCCCCTGGACTATATTGTTAAGACAATAATAGGTTTTTTACATACCTCAGTCAAATAGTCCAAAAATGATATTGCTCAACAGCTTACATGTTTCCTTGCGAAGACAACATTATCAAATCTTGCAACTCGTCAAAAACACGTTTAAAACACGAACACGAACACAGAAAACATTAATACGGTACGAATACACGATTGACATTTAGATAGCGCTATCATAATACTGATTTGGTCCGGCGCGGCGCAGGGCTGGTAGCAGACTGGAGGTCTACGTCATGTCATCTCCTCTACTGTTATCACTGATGTTATCAGATCTTCGATCAGCTGTTCCTGAGTTTAATATTGTATTAAAAATCCAGTGAGACTGAAACTGTAATTTTTCGTTAAGGGTGTGGTCCTTACACTGTTCAAAATTCTTCATGTCTGTGGGAAAGGTAGCAAACTTGACACCTTGGAGGAGTTCGGGATTTATACAATTTATAATGACGAACAGTGTAAGGACCACATCCTTAACGAAAAATTACAGTTCCAGTCTCACTCGATTTTTAATACAATATTAAACTCAGGAACAGCTGATCGAAACCTCCAGTCTGCTACCAGCCCCGCGCCGCGCCGGACCAAATCAGTATTATGATAGCGCTATATAAATGTCAATCGTGTATTCATACCGTATTAATGTTTTCTGTGTTCGTGTTCGTGTTTTAAACGTGTTTTTGACGAGTTGCAAGCTTTGATAATGTTGTCTTCGCAACGAAACATGTAAGCTGTTGAGCAATATCATTTTTGGACTATTTGACTGAAGTATGTAAAAAACATATTATTGTCTTTAAAAAATAATGCAAACAACAACCTTGTGATTTTGTCATTTGAAAGATATAATATCAAAATCTATAAAAACTATTTTTATAACTTAACGAACTAAAAGGAAAGGATTAAGAAACTAAATTTTTTACTTGTAAAATAAGACTGTAGCTTAGTTAGTTAGGTTAAAGTTAAATATGAAACCATTTTAAAAGTTTTATAGCAGTAGGCACTAATGACCAGCTTCACGATGAAAATACTGACTGAGTTAGAGTTGAAACTTAACAGCCACTATAAAACTATTATTTTCAGGATAAAATATGTTTGGCATCTCATAATAACTACGCTAGAAATAAATAATGGAAGTCAAAGGAATAAAAGTGACAAAACTTAGCTAAACTACTGACTCGACGAGTTCTTGGAAGTAGGCCTACTTGATTTGACCTTGAATACACCAACATTATTGTCGTGATAAAATATTAGTGGATTTGGGACTGATAATGGGGTTTTATGGCATCATTACCCTGGTAGTACATTTTGAAAATCATAAACAAACATCTGATAAACGTTTTATGTGCTCTTTACCAACTACCTTTGACTATGATAGTTAATTGAAAGTAGTTAATTATTATTGTCTGTACTGAAGGAATTTGTACCAAGTAAAATGTTGTATTGAACCGAAGGCAGTAATTAGGCCTGAATCTTACGTACCGACTTTTTCGGTGCATCGCAGACCCCTAATATTTTTCGGTGTCAGCTTTACCATGAGTGTGTCTATTTGTCACGGTATATATTTATTTACTGATTATTATGTTCTGGTTCTGTGAATTATTTATTTATTCCTCAAGATTATTAGTAAGCATTTTAACATGATTAAGTAAGGGTTTTTGTGAATTCTCAATCTTTCCAAGTTCTTGAACCCGCAAATTCCAGTATTTGTGATAAATAATTATACTTTTTTTTACTCCTTACGAGGAAGGAACAGACTTTTGCAACAGTGACAATTGGGGTGGGGCGTTTGCTGCCATCCTAGCTACACAGAGGGTCCCTGGTACGCATCCAGCTATGCTAGCCTGGGTATCATATCTCTTGTTACTTTGTCTGCAGTGAAGTGTCAGGCCTTTACTCATCACTCCTTTGACGTAAAAATCACAGTAGGCCTACTGACGAGATACTTCAAGTGGCTTGTGATAATTGCCTACAAAATCTGGTTGTGAAAGTTCATCTCACAGCTACCCATGGTAGCTGGTGGTACAGCACCCATTTTAACACTGCACTGCAAACAAAGAAAGAGTGATATGATGGGTAGACTACCTTAGCTGGATATGAATCCAGCTAATTGTAGGAACTGTGATGATAAGAAGTGGTGCACTCCAAATAGCTGATGCAGAATGTAATATGTTTGTTTAATTACCAGATGGTTTGTATTCAGCTTTATCACTACGAAAGTTTATTTTAATGATATCTAGATAAAAATAAAGTTGTAAATAAAATGGTACAGTATAGCAATAATTTTCAGGCAGAAACATATGCAGTCACTCACCAAAAACAAGACGTTCAATGAAAGTTTTAAAGTTTTCACCATCTACAAGTGAACAGAACCGGAAAACTGGTAAACCTTTTTAACAGAATAAACCATGTACATTTAAAATTTAAATATAGAAGGACTTGTTCAGTCTTTGTTATACTCTATTACTATGAGGATGAGATAGGATTGGGCTAGTATTGGTTTTTATTTAATCAAGTCAAGGATTTTTAGTATTAGTACTGTAAATAAATAAATTTAAAAAAAGAAAATAGATTTGTTTAAAATTAACCTTACACAGTTTACTGGCAGATAGGCCTAGCTCTTGAGACACAATAGTATATTCTTAACAAATTTCTTGAGAGTGATTTAAAAACAAACAAAAACTGCTTGTCTCTAGGATGTGTTCATATTAAAAGTTTCTGTAGCCAGCCAAATCCTAAATTATAAACACTTCTTCTGTGAGCGGAGTTGAATAAATAATGGAATTGATGCTAAGTGCTAAGCATTTGAAGTTTCAAGTACATGGGCTAAGATTAGACATATACTATTTCAAAACTAAACGACAATCAATTTATTTTAACAAACAAAATTACAAATGCAAAGAAAGTAACTTTAGAATCAGAATCAGAATTTCTTTACTGTAAAAAAATACGGGGCCATACACATATTACATAACAACCTTTTTCGTCATTTTAACCCCCCCCCCCCCCTCCGCCATGTAACGCACCGTAACGCTTGAGCAAACCCCCTCCCCCACGACCCTTGCGTTACGTAACTAGATGATAGTGGGCTTTAATAATAGGGCTTTAATAACAGCTTAAGCCTAATTTTACCAGTGTAATATGGATTTAAATAAATCATTAAACTTGTATTGACTTTTGCTTGATAATCTTTATATGATAAAAGCAATATAGATACAAACAAACAAGATTGTTACTGATAATGAAGAATAAAAAGATACGTGGACGTATCTTTTTGTATAACTAACTGAATTAGATATAATTTTGATTATTAATGTGTGCGTTACGTAACATTGAGCCAAACCCCCTCCCCCTCCCCCATATAACGCAACAATGCTATGCTATACCCCCTCCTCCCCTTAAGTGTGTTACATAAGGCTAGGATTATACTAGGACGCTGGCGTCCGGGATGCTGGCGTCCGAGAGGCTAGCGTCCCACCTCGAGCCGAAAAATGACGTGATTTGTGTTGGGATGCTAGCCTCTCGGACTGCCATTTTATTTCAATGTTTAGTCACTTTTTGTTTATATCTATTTAAATAACATTAGGTTTAACGAGTACCAAGGTTTGATGCTTTAAGGGGGCTAATAAAGTGTGTTTTTAGTAAAATACTGTATCATTAGCTTAGTAAAACAAATCGTCCAAGTTTAATCAAAATATATCCATACACAAGCAAATTCCAACACATAACAACATTTTCTATAACAATAACATGGCAATTTTTAATATACTCTTTTTTTAAATTTCTCCATAACTAATAACAGTACAAAAACACTTAAATATACTAAATTATTTGTTTTTAAGCTCATTAAAATTGTCTAGAGAGAAATTGGGAATTTTTCAGTTTTATGGGCCAAAAATTACAAACCCCCTTTTTTAGCACATAAAACCCCGTTCCCAAGGTCTATTCATGCTGGTTCGCGAACTCATTCAAGTTTATCCCCCCCCCTCACCTTAAAACAGAATTTCTTCAAAATATGACAAAAGTTACTCCAGTTATCGCGTTTACAGACATATATATAATATTTAAATCTATACGAACAGGTGGTGTTTATGGCCTCTGGGGACATCAAAATGAAAAAGTAAATCGGTCCCGGGCCTAGGTCTTACCATGTCACCTACGGTAATAGCTTCGAGCGTCCGGTGGCTCTTTTTAGCATCCGACGCTAGCATCCATAGTATAATCGCCCCCATTTGATTTAATGCCCCGTTAGCGTCCCGGACGCTAGCCTCTCGGACGCCAGCGTCCTAGTATAATCCTAGCCTAATATGTGTATGGACCCTACACAAAGTACAAGGCAAGAGGCACTATAACTAAATATGTAAAACACATAGACTAAAAAGTTACAAATGAAAATACAAACTTTAGGAGGTACATGTTATTTAAAATAGAAAAATGAAGTTACCTTGTAGAATTAATTCTTTTGCAACTAAATATTCTCTCAAACTTTGATAACTTTGAATTTATAAAATAGAACATTACACACCTAAACCAAAGTCCATTTGGTTGAGTTTTGAAACAATCAAAATGGTTTTGATGAGAGAGACTTGATCTAGAGAAGCCTGGAAACTCTACAACTGTACAAATTAACAGTTCTGTGTGTATCTTTGGTCTACATGTTTGCTGCGAAAGGGGAATGTCTTTTTTCAATGTAATAAGTAGATCAGAGATTCTCTCAGCAAAATATATCATCCAAATGTTGTTAGAACATTATAATAATCAATTTGGTTATTGATCTATTTGTTATTACAGAAAGTAATTCGGAAGAAACTACTAAACCAAGTACATCCAGAGTAAGGTTTTCTTTAAGACCAAGTGTCCTTACAATCAGTGAAAACAGTGTCACTGAAATGCCAAAAAAAGCTGCTAAACGAAGACAAACTACTTATGGTCCTTCAAGCTCAATACCTGCTGAACATGCATCACCAAGAAGACGCACCCCTCGACTGACCAGGAAAGTTACATTTGACCGAGGTAAATTACCAATTGTTTAATAATTTTTAGGGATAGGCGGATCTCAAATTTTGAGACTTTGCGAGATTAAAAAAATCTTGTTAGTTCAAGCGAGATTAACTTTTCTCTGAGCTTTTTTCCAGACAAGATAAAAAAAAAGCCTTTGCAAAGGAAACGCAACAACAACACGCTCCTGTATTGCAGATATTGCAGAGACTTTCTGAGTGAATTTTTAAAATGTATACATCTCAAAAATCGGTCAAATTGATTTATCAGGTTATTTGTTAACCGTTATGACCCTGGTCCCGTTTATACTGAATATAATAGGTTTTACTGTATACGATATCATTTTCACTGAGATAAGAAGTAACACCGTACACACTACTACAATTTTCTTTTGTATCTTATGGACTGTTTTTGTTGTGATACGGTCAGTTGTGGTGTGCATGTTACAGTTTTAATTTAAAGATGTCTTACTTTATTTTTGTTGCGTTTCCTGATACAATTGCATTGCTGCGGGCAGGACCGCAAGTAGACTGAACAAGGCTATGGTCACGATGTGCTGGCGTAGTCTCATATGACTGTCGTCTGTGTTATCAACAGTTGTTATTGGTCTATCACAGTGGTCATTTTAATGTTTTAAGAGTAAACGTAAAAATATGATTTTTGCAACCAACACCTTGTTATAAAAACAATAAAATATTATGTCAAATTCGCTAAAAATTTTAAGAATTTAATTTATTTACAAGACCTGATTTGCAACAATTTTCGCAAAGAAAAAATAACTGATAACATTTTTAATATTGAGAAATAGTTATTTGTGTAACTAGTGAGCAAAGTGGTACTTTGCTGCACACGAGAGCAACGTTTATGCACGAGCCGTAGACGAGTGCGGAATGATCACGAGTGCAAACTCGAGTGCAGCAAAGGCCATTTTCCACTCGTGTTACACATTATATTTTTCCTACAGTCACTATAAAGCATATAAATAATTAGTCTTTAAAATACTATACAATACTATACATTTTTAGGTTCAGCTGGCAACACAAATAGGTGCCCTAGAGAAAGTAGTCACCGGTCCGTATCACTTTGCTATTTTTTCTACGGCAAGCAATGTGCTCCGCGTCTTAAAAAAAATATTTCCGTATGTTTTTGTAATTTGAAGTGGTTTCCGCACCTAAAAAATTTTTTAAATGTATTTTCTTGTTTATTAAGATCGTAGGAATGTTTTAAAAGCGTTTAAAAGAAAAGTCCAGAAAGTTCAGAAATACCGAAACTATAAACACGAAATGATGGGTTAAATCGTAGTTATAATAGTCAATCAGCTGCTCATAGTATCTTTAAGTGTTGCCAACCTATTTCCAAGTGTACACGGATTACGTGCATAATAGAACCACGCTGTTTTGTGTTGTTTCGTTGGAATTCTGATGTGCGCCAAAGTTTAAACCGTACGACAAAGTATAAATATGCAGCAATTAGCAGCTTTCTGTACTATAAACAGTAAAAGGAAGCCAACTTTGTCGGGTGACTGTAGGAAAAGAATCTTCCCTCTGGAATACAAATTATTTTTCAATTGCAAAATTACTTTGGTTAAATTTTATAAACCAGATTTTGTTACTGACCAGTTATTATTATCTTTTTTATTTACTTGGGTTTCTTAAAACTTAAAACCCTTTTATTTTTCTTTAGTCTTTGTTTGTACTTAAAGTTATGTGTATTTTCAGAAGCTGATGAAAAAGTATCTTTCAAGCTGCCATCCACGCCTTACAGGAAATTGCAAACAGATTCGTAAGTAAGTTATTTGATAATCAGTATAGTATAAAGTTGATCGTGCAACTAAAGAGCAAAATGACACTTCCAAACGAGAGAAAAAAGTTAACGCACTTTTGAGGGTGTCAATTTGATCAAGTTAAAAAAAGCTATGTATTTGAATTGCATTGCATTTGTCTAGAGTTTTTGTTTGAATGAGCTGCATTATTGAGGCGTCAGGACAAACAATGCCGTTCGTTGTTCCCAAACTGTGCGAAAAAATTCCCCTCCATTTGCATTTTTAAATCATCTTCATAGATTAAAAATTGCATTAGTTTGATTTACATTTCTTGTTTACCAACACCTTTGTTTGTTTTTCAGATGAAGCAGTTTCTGCTAGTATAAAATAAAAGAGTACTAGTATTTCATGTATTAAATGGGATATCAACATTTCTTTACTGATTGAACTTTAAATCTTTTTGTCTTCAAGCACTATTTCTTAAAACTTGCATTGATGATTGTTTATGTTATTTGTTGAAAACTTGTTGTCACAATTGTTTGAGGTACGGTATATTATTCATGATATTTTATATGGCATATTATTGCTGTTTTTATATATTGATACGTTTTTATTAAAAATAAATTTTGAAAAGGAACACTTTGTAAGCCAAAATATATTTTTTATTGTAGTTATATGTAGTAGAGAGTTGGAAATAAAGTCTTAAAATGTTAATTTACAGAGTTTTTATACATCCTATACCTATTAGTTTTACTTAATTGTCTAAACAGATTGTTTGAACACTATAATAGATGAGTTATTTTTACTGTGAAAAAATTTGCATAACTTACATCAGTCATAACCTTATGATGCATCTTATAAAATATGAAAGCTAATTATTTCCATCTTTAAGAATAGGTGTGAGAAAGGATAGGGTAAGCAGGCTTATCCTATCCTTTCTCACACCTATTCTCAGGCAATAAGCCCTTTCTCTCCAAACCTATTTCCATCTTTATTTAGGCTCTAGCCAACTATTTTGGTCATGTTATGGTTTCAAAATTATCCCAATGAATTGTGTTGGACATTGCTATCACCCACTTGGGATAGCAGTACGCCACCTAAAAAAAAAATAAAATAAAAAAATAAACGGTATCAGCAATCTGACACATACTTTCTCCCATAATTTTGTCAACAACCTTTATCATGGGTAAGCTGTGGGAGTAGCTATGACATTTTATACGGAAAATCACAAATTTGCGATAACTTTTTAACCTTATTTATTACAGCAATTCAATATTCAATGCATGCCCTTCGAGGCATGCCTTTCAGCTGTCCACACTAATGCCTCACTTTTTAATGTCTGTTCCAAGATGGATGAAGACGACGCTTCATTATTTATGCCGTTTTCGACAGTCCATTCTTTTAAAAATTATCCGTCCTTCAAATGAAGAACAACGAAACCATCAAGTGTTTTATTCAAAACATTATGGCAACAAACCACTTCACGTTTCAATGTAAAGGACTAGCTGTTTGGCCCGCTCTTGGCTCGGGACTTTTTTTTTTATAATTTATGCACCTTGAAATATTGCTGTAAAACTGAGATAAATCATTGATGATGGAAATTAATTGCCAATTAAATGGTATTAAAAATATGACTGTAGGCTTTTTATTTTATTTCATACATGTTGTATTTTTTTAATAAATCCAAAAAACCTTTTTAACAAAAATCGGCTTTTTGGTTGAATGTTGTTGAGGTGATAAAGCAGTGTACTCTGTTTTCTCCGTTGCTGCACATTAAACGAGACATTAACTCAGAACAAGTAGCAGAAACTTCACTAAATATGCTAATTCAACATCTGGCATTTAGAAGTTTATCTAGAAAGAGGTTGAGTTAAGCTAGCAAAGCAGAGATTTTCAAACCCTCAATCTCCTTGGAAGAAGTCCCATATCAGAAGAAATTCCCAGTGATATGTTATGTGACCTGTTTTATTTAATATATGATACCCTTTTTTCGGTAATCTAGCTTATCTCTATCTCTAAGGAAAACCATGAAACTACTTGATAGCCAAATAGATTTTCCTTTAAATTTATGCTTATATCTAACACAATATTTCACTGGTTCTTTGCATGAGTAGTTGTAGCACTCGTCTAGTTAAACAACAACAAGGCGACCAGTTCGATCCTGAGAAAAGCTATCCTTGATCACTAAGTTTAAAGCTTTGACTATTGATACAACTAGGCATTCCATCCCCATGATTTCTAAATTTGAAAATTGAAAAAAAATTCTAGCTAGAGTTCTGAGAGGGTACACTCGTTTTGGGTCCCCCTGAATTAAAAAAAGTGGTTTTCGAACTGATGTTTGTCTGTATGTGTGTGTAGAGCTACAGACAACACCTGTAGTCTGAGTTTGTTGAAATTTGGAATGTAGGTACTAATCTAATGTAGGTACATGGTAACTCAAGGCATTTTTCATTTTTTGAAATTTTTATAGTGATTTTCTCATAAAAACCTATTTTATAGTCTTTTAAATTCTGAACAAAATTGTACAACAAAATTACTTATAAAACCTAAGCAGAATTGCATCTAAGGAAATTCCAACCTAATTGAACCTAAGAAAATTCCAACCTAGGAGAATTGCAACCTAAGGGAATTGTTGTAGCAGAATTGCTGTATAAATTACGGTTCAACAGTTATTGTAGCTTATGTTCTTTTACCTTAATTCCATAAAATAACAGAAAACTGATCTTTGAAAAAAGCCAGTATTGATTAAAATTAGCATGTTATGGTCCTTATAATTCTTAACAGTACAACCCCTGTTGCTGTAAAAACTACAATTCAAAAGTTATTGCAATTTTTGTAATTTTCCCTATAAAATATCATAGTTACTCCCACCGCTTACCCATGATAAAGGTTGTTGACAAGCTAATAGGAAAAAGTATGTGTCAGATTGCTGATACCGTTGATTTACTAAGTCAAACTGATGGAACGGCTTATTGTGAGCTATAGCAACTGTTATGACCCAAAAATAAGGTAGGGAAAATAATTGTATACACTATTGCATTCTGTACCTGGCTCACACAACTATGTTCTTGTTTTATAAAGAAATTGGCAAAAGCTGTTTTATATAGATGGGATGTCTACTTTAGTATCCAATAGTCAATGGTTTAAAGTAAATGGTCCTATAAAAATACTAGTATATTTCATCACTAGGGAATAAAGTGACTCTTTTTGATCCGAGCTCAAGAATGGAAAATGAGTGAGGGTTGAAAAGACACCTTTTTCCCAGGTGATGAACTATATTTTTCGTCATAAAGCAACATTAATACAATAACAAACAAAGTTAGGAAACAACAATTCTTTTTATGTAAATATAACCTTTCAAAACAACTTTCAATTTGTTTTAAATTTGGCTGATGCAATAAGCAGCTGTGTAGTAAGTGATTCGGTCGTTTAGTCTAATATGATTGTATTACTGTACATTATACCATTGATATGTCAAAATATTGACAAGAATGCAAAAATAAGCTAAAACTGTTTAAATCAATTGACAGCCCTAAATAATTTTTATGCATGTGATTTCTTACAATCATTTACAACAGCTGACTTTTACTCTCTAGGGAATAATAAGCTTTTTACTCCCTAGGGAGTAAAAAGCCTACAGTAAAAGCTACGGTACTTTAGACCCGCAACGCATGTATTAAAAACGGCGGTTTTGCTGTTGTATGAGGAAAATAATCTTAATTACGTCATAGCAGTGTCCCAAGCTGATAACATAATCAAAGCTACATAAGAAACTTTTAAAATTGAATTACTTTATAAAAGACATACAAATTTAAGTATAAAAGCCTCCTAACATTTTCAGGCTGTTATACAAAAAAATAGGTGTGGGGTGTCAAATCAAAATATTAAATTGTATTGCCATTTTCATTATTGTGAATTTTGTTGTGTTTGGGGAAGAACAAAAACGTAATTTTAAGTATAAAATGTGCAAAGATCGCTGCATGGGTTACGCCAGTAGCTCAACTTAGGGTGAGTTATATGTACAGTATGTGGTGGTAAAAGTGTTTATATGCAGTAAGCCATATTTCTCGCTTATATTACAGTGAAGGTAGAACCATAGATTAAACATACTCCCTTAGAGTCCCTAAGGGAGTATGTTTAATCTATGGTAGAACTCTTGTGGTCCTGTCCTCTAGCTTGATGTTGTTTAACTGACGGTAGGTCTTCGCCTTCTGTTTGTTCATCTGTTTCACCATTGCCACCACACTGGCTACGAGCACTGCTACCAACATAACTAAGATGGCTGCCCGTATGAGGCTAGTGTGAGGATGTAAAGTTCTAGGTTTGAAGTAATCTTCCATCAGCATGCCCCTCGCTTCAGGCGGATTTTCACATCTGTGAAAAAAATTTATGTGTTGTTGTGATTACTGATTAGTTATAGAAATTATGTATTTATAAAATAAACCATAAACTCTCCCTCCCTGTAAATATTTTAAAGTATTGAGTTTTGAAATATCTCCAAAAATTTTTACCAATAATACTAAATTTTAATTTGCTTAGACTAATTAATTATTAAACACTTTGTCCTTAACTTTAATACACTTTTGAAACACTTTGAGGCTTAACTTTAAGATATTTATCTACGACCATTTTTTAAAGTAGCAGTTTCAGTTCAGTTCTTAGAATTGAAAAGTTTTACATAACAGCATTGTTTACTTTCATAACAGCATAGTTTTACTTATAACAACACGGGTAACGGACCAATGAGGTTCAAGGATTGAGAGGGAAGTAAAATTCGAACTTCAACTAATCAGCTATTCAGACCAATTGTGAGTGGTGCAATTAGTGTTGGGTACAAATGTTTTAAATTGTTTAAATTTTCTACTCGTGTCGTTAACAGTATCTTTACGCATTCGTTGTGTAAACTACTACTATAATGCATTTAGAGTTAAGTCTTGCTGCCAAATACTGTTTTAAAATACATGCCTGCCACAAACCGCCTTAGAGCAACCATAATAATTTTTATAGCCTGCTTAGAAAAAAACAACAACAAAATACTGTAAATTTTGTTTGACACTTTTTGAATCAATTGGTCCTCACAGACAAGTTTTTTTAAATTTGGCGAGCATATGTAATATCATGAATAAATATTTTGAATTTTGAAATAAGTTAAAATTTTATATTGTTCTCAGTCTTAATTCTCAGCAATAAAGTTTAGTTTCTGATTTTTAGATAACTTTATTATACTATTAAAGGTGCTATAAAGTTTTAGTTATAGTTTATTGAATTCCTTTGATTTTAAATTATTTGTCTTACACTTTAACTTCCAGTGGCCCTAAATTTGTCTGTCAAAATGAAGGATTTTTATTTCATCTATGGTTTCCTTATCAAACTATCCTGACACAATACTAAGCTGTTCTAAGCCAGAAAATTCTTATATTATAATCCATTCTTCTTAAAACAAAAAGAAGGATGGGTTTTAAAGTGGTAGGTCAACTTACTTTAGTTCTGATGTTACATTTGCTACGTTGAGGTTCAGTATCCAAGACACACCACTGTCACAAGTCCAAGGGTTGTCCCGGAGGTCCAAATATTCAGTTTGGTCCAGCAAAGGCTGCAAAGATCTAGGAAGCGTAGTCAGTGCACAGTGAGATAACACAACTCTCTTCATTTTAGGATGAGACTCACTAAACACTCTTTCAGAGATAAAACTCAACTTTGTACAGTTCTTAATGAAAAGTTGCTCTATATTTGCCAAACCACTGAAACTATTTGCCTTAATTTCCTTGAGTAAGGGCATAGACTCCAAGGAGAGTTTTTGGACTAAATGAAGGTTAGAAAAAGAATCCTTCGATACAGTTTCAATTAAAGTTCCAGAAATATTTAAGTACCTCAGGCTTACTGGCAAATCAGTAATGTTTCGTAATGGGTTTAGTGCTATATTTAAGTAAATCAAGTGAGATGCTTCGCCAAATAAGTCTTTGGGAATATCTGCTAGTGATATATTTTCAATCGCCAAAGTAAGAACACTTTTACTCAACGGCATTTTTAAGGGGCTCAATTTATTTGGATCACTACCCAGTTCGATGTTATTACTCAAGTATAATTTGTACAGTGAGGGAAGTAAGTCAAATACAGCTGGTTCAATCTCTTTTAATTTATTGGAAGTTATGCTTAAAACTTTCAGTTTCAATAGATAGTTAGTTATGTTGGAAGATAATACTTTTATAGAATTGTTATTCAGGTAGAGCTCTGTTAAGCTACTTAAACCCTTGAAAGCGTTTTGATCGATTGTTTGTATACTGTTTGAAGAAAGATCTAAAATTAAAATATCAGTCCAGTTGGTGAACAGAGATTCTTGGACGTGTATCAACCGGTTGTGGCTCATGTTCAATGCTATGACAGGGTGGATAAGCATCCCAGGAGGTGCAGACGTCAAATCCATCCCAGTACAGTCTACTGTCCATCTTATACCAACATCCACCGACGTTCTACACTTTAAACTGGTTACTGCTGACACAAACATCAACAATACATTCACCACTTCCATCTTGTCACACTCCTCAAGTAGACTCACATTAAATTATATCATAAATCTCTTCATCTACCTAAATCGTGGTCCTTGGTGTATGTTATATTATATTTAGCATGAGGGGCTTTCCTCATTCTTCCAGTTGGATTCCCTGGGGAAAAAAGATAGAGTTATAATCTAGAATATTTATCCCGTTATACTGTATTTTAAAACAAATTGTATTGAATTAGAATGTTCAATAAGTATTTATTTTATTCAAATCCAAATATATTTATTAAAGAAATTACAACATTTTGGCCTCGCCCTCGCCAAGTTTAATTTTTTTTACCTACAACCTTTTAGCGAATTTCCCTATAGGGAAGTAGCTATTACCGTAGGTCTCATAGTAAGACCTAAGCCCGGGACCGATTTACTTTTTCATTTTGATGTCCCCAGAGGCCAAAAACATCATTCGTTCAAATTTTTATATATGTATATGTGTCCATCCGCACGATAACTTGAGTAATTTTTGTCCGATTTTGATAAAATTTGGTTTGAAGGTGTAAGGCGGGATAAACTTGAATGAGTTCGCGAACCAGCATGATCGGACTATGGGAACGGGGGTTTATGGGGGGTTTTATGGGGTAAAAATAGTTTTTTCCCATTTTTAACCCTAAAAACACAAAATTTCACAATTTCTTTTTAAACCATTCTGTAGAGCTTAAAAAAAACAAATTAGTATATTGAAGCGTTATTATGCGCCTAATTTTTACGGAGAAAATTAAAAAAAATTGTAATTTTAAAATTCCCATGTTATTCTTATGAAGAATAGGTCAACTGTTATAGTTTGCTTGTTTATGAACATATTTTGATCGATTTTGGAAAATACTTTTATTTCTTACTAAACTATTATCATTTTATAAAAAAATTTTTTTACCCTCCCTGTTGCAGCAAACCTAAGTACTCGTTAAACTAATTCTATTTAAATAGGAAATAAATGTGCTATTTTTATGGAGGCATTTTAGTGTAAATCCAATCAGGTTAATGGAAATTCGCTTAGTCTACAGGTTTGCTGCGGCGGGGGTATTTTAAAGTTGCCGTTTCAGTTCAGATCTTAGAATTGAAAAGTTTCCCATAACAGCATTGTTTACTTTCATAACACAGCATAATTTTACTCATAACAACAACAGACCGGTTCGAGGGTTGAGGGAGAAGAAGTAAAATTGTAATGATTCGAGGTTCAACTAATCAGCTGTTAAAGCCAATTTAATTTTTGGGGGTGCAATTAGTGTTGGTACAATGTTTCGTTGCATCACTGTCAGTGGTAATGAGTGGTTACAAACGAAAACATACTCTATTAGAAGTTATGAGTAGTGATTTTTAGTGATTAAAACACTGTCGTTCGTAGGTAAAGTAGTGTACGCAACTCACTTTAATAGTGTTAAATAACTTCTTGATCAGCATTGTACGTGTTATTAAATTAGCTGAATAAAGCACAAAAGATACGTCAAATAACACTTATAATAATGTATTTATTTATACTTATACTGTTTACTCACAAGACGTTAAAATACATATGAAAGATGGTATTTAAGTGGTGATCGATTTCGATTGGACACTTCTATCATCATCAGACCCAATAGGCGAATGTATTATAAGTGTTATTTGACGTATTTTTGTGTTTTTCAGGAAATAGTCTTAATGACACTCGTAGAAGTTTTTAACCACTCGCCAAGGCTCCTAACTTAAATTTTCTCCTCGTGTCGTTAACACTACAGTAGACTCCCTCTTATCCGGACACTTTTTAATCGGACATTGGTTTAACCGGATTACACTCGGCGGAAATGACATCTCTTTAATCGGACAATTTTTATCAGCAAATCGGCTTAACCGGAAGTGGGCGGTACTGAAACGACCGTTCTCGTGGGAATAATTTGAGACCAGTGATCACGTGTCTAAATACAATGCTCTCCTAAATTTAAGTCAAATACACATTTAAATAGTCCGTTTTAAATAGTTTTTGGGGACATCGGTTTAACCGGAAAACCCGTTATCCGGACTGGCCTCAGTCGCGAGGAGTCCGGATAAGAGGTAGTCTACTGTATCTTTACGCTATCGTTGCGTAAACTATACTATTAATTACTGAAAAATCAGTCTACTTCATTAAAATACTACATTAAAAAACCTCTTCACTTGCAGCTAAACCAAAATATTGAGAGAAATTGCATTTAATTGTAATTGTTAAATAAATAAATTATATCAATGTATTATATATAAGCTGAACTGTTGGAGTAAATGGTAATTCAGAAAATTATTATTCCTGAAAAAAACATGACTCTTCTTAATTGATTAGATTCCTTATAATGTTTTGATAAATTGCAAATATACAGCACTTAAATCCAAATAGAGAAGAATTTTTAGAAGGAGTCCAGTGTTGCCAACTAAAAATCCAAACTTATTAAAATCTTTTAGTACCATTTTTTTTTTTTTTAGAATCACAGTGTCCAGCAGCTGCTCTGCTTGCCCTTATTATACAGAACTTACTTAATATTGTTATCTCTTATGCTATTTGAATTAAATTAATAATTAATGTATACTTTTTTTCAATTTATAGATGGGTTTCCCACTTTTTTGAAGTGAAGCCTTTTTGAAGTTCTTAGTAGAAAGAAAGGTACTGTATGCATTTTCTGTGGCATTCATCCAAGGGCAGATTTACAGGGACGTCAAGAGGGATCACAACACCCCAAATTATAAGGCAAAATATTGTTGTTTTCGTTAAAAAACATATTAAAAATGAAGCGATCCATTCTTTTATTTAAATAATCAAAGTAATATAAATACAAAAATCAAGTAAAAAAGTCTGGTAGAAAGAAAAATACTGTATTCTATATTTTTATGACATTTTGGTTTTATTTTCATTCTCTTTTAATTTGGTAAAAATGTTGGAATGTGAGTTTTAAGCTGTAGGCTAATTTCATTTGTACCTACTTATATAATAATTACACCCAACTGGACCCAGCTGTTTCTGATCATTGAGTTTTAAATAAATGATTCTAGCTAATGAAACAGCTGATCTTAGTCAGTAACAAAGCTATCATCTCACATCATTGTACAGTACACTCATCATTTACTCATATTCGGGTTAAAATGGATGGTGGCCCCATCTCAATGAATGATTTGATTGACCCATACATTTAGCAAAATCTTTTGCACAACACTAGTCCTGTGTTAATTATGAAACTTAAAAAACAAAATAGTAGATAACATGGAATAATTACACTCATCTATTTACCATTTTCAGAAAGTAAAATTGTTATTGAATGTTGTCAAAGGTAAAACAGACTTGAGTTTAGATAGGACAATAACATATTGCATTATAAATACACTTTTGACATGCTATTGGAATTTAAATATGATAAAAAAATAATACAAGATACATCAAAGTTCACTTTTATTAGACATTATTCATATAGTGATAACCAGTCTACTGTATTATTTAACATAGATCTAATTGCCATTCATCTAAACCCAAAGAAAAACAGAAATATAGCTACTAGTCAAAGCTACTACTTGAAACTAACTAAAAGAGTGGCTTGGTTAATTTCAGCAACACAGTTCCACTCAAAGTTTAGAAATTTTAATTGTAACCTATCGGGAATTAAGACACCAGGATATAGCAACTGAGAAATATCAAACTTCATCAGTTAGGTACTTTACAACCGATCTTGGAATTGTTATCACTAAAGACAATCGAAATATCACAATCTGAGTTGGAATACACACCTTGGCAGGTAAACAAACACAAAAAGCCATCAACAGTTTACAGTGTGGCTGCTGGCTATACCAGCTGCCACTGACAGTCAACAGTGAACTACCTAACCACATAACACACACTTTCACATGTGACCTTGGCTTGGCTCACCCACACAGACACACAAGTAGACATGGCTGGGCTATCACTCCCGCATAATCCCTTGATTTGTATGTATACCTGATAATACCAACAATGAGGCCAAACTGTGATCATATCATTTGTCCCTGCCTTGAAACCTAATAAGTCTTTCCTCTTGGTTTGTGCATTCCAAAATACCAGAACCAGCTAGACCCGTTTAGGAATGGAATACTACTAGATATTTGGGCTACACTAGGCCGGTTTTGGAAATGATTTTGTAATTCAAAGTTTTTAGTTGGTGTGTTTCAAAATAACATACTGAGAAATCTGCTGGTTTCAAAAATGAAAAATACTAAATAGTAAACATTGAGTCTTCGCTTTGAAAAAATTATTTATTTCAATTTATTTGGTTTCCAACGCCCATGCTTTTTTAATAAATGATCCATGGTTTTTAAATCAATAACACAAAATTAATTACTGCAAATCAATAATAATGGTTTCTTTACCACATTTAGATTAAATTACCAAAATACTACATTACAAAATGTGATAGGCTTAGTACCTTTCTGCCTTTGTACAAATTCTGCCTGTTAAACATCAGCAGTGAAGCTGTTTTACTTTAATTCATCAATTTGGTTTCCAAGGTATTTTCATTTTCTCAAAATTACATAGTGTTCAGTTTAAAAAAATTTTGTAAGTATTTTAAAAACAGATTGTGTTATCATGTAATGTTTGTCTTAGTTTTATAAGTATTAAAAGTCTAATCAACAATTGACAGCTAAAAATAAAATAAATTTACTCTTTGCTTACACTTACAGTAAATGTACTCAAGGTAGAATTAATACCCAATAATCAAGAGTTGAAACCCGAATAATCAATGAAACTTGCAACAAACAACAGTATTGGTGAGGTATACCGTTGCTTAATGGTTTTCACACATTTCTACCAGTGTCTTTATGTTCTTACCTAAATAACTATCAAATCAAGTCATCACTCACATGGTCATGAGTGAGCTCCATTGGCGTAGCGGGTTTTAACTTGAGAATTTTTTGTAAAACATGTTGAATAAAATCCCTTGAATCTATAATTGATAAATTTATGGCTAATGGCCAACTATTGATTGTATATACCCTATTGATATACGAGTGAAAATTTAAAAACGTACGTTTTCATGTCCCTGGCCTTTTACTTCGTAGATACTGGATTTGTAGTTTATTATTATGTGTTTTAATATTTTTTGGGACGGGGGCAACATGTTACACACATTTATTTAGTTTTAAATAGGTTCTAGGTATTTTTTTCGTATTTTTAAAGTCTCAAAATTCACGACCATGACGTGTCCCTAAGGTACATTTTCCAACTTTCACGCTGTTTTTAGACTAATTATTCATGCCGAAATATATAAAGTCATATTTTTATGTTGTCAATGGTTATTAAACTTACAAAAAAGGAGTATATTATAATTTTATTGTCATTGCAGACTGACTACCATGACAAAATAAGTCTGTCCCTCGATTTGGCGTCACGACCATTTGGGAAAATTTTTCAACTTTGGAGCACGACAGTGGCAAGCCTGGCGTCGATGGAGTCAGTTGGTTTTAGAGACTAGTTCGGGGTGTACGTCAGGATTGTAGTGCCGGTCGTTTCGAGTTGAAAGGAGGAATTACAAGATTAATAAAGGAAAGATTGTGTTTTTTGTAATTTTGGTGTGTCCATGACCGTACGTAGTCATTCGATGAAGTAGACATGGTGTTAATTTTTGTTTATAAGATATTTCAATTGCTAGATCAACCTAGAAGTCCACTTTGTATCCTCGAACATGAGGTGCAGTGCTACCGCCAGAACAGAGCCAAATAACACGTAATTTCACGACCAAATTTTCACGACCATCGCGGTTTTTTTCACGACCAATCCAGCCTTATGGATTATAGTTAGTTTGGTCGTGACAATAACTTTAATATAATTGTAAATTGAACAGTTTAGTTCAATTGAAACACATAGTTTTATTATAACTAACAGTATAATTGAAGGATTGTTTGGAAAGATTTAGATTATTCCAGACAATTCACGACCGTACCGCTTGTCCCTGACCATCACGTTTATGATTTCTATCATAAAAATTTCAAAAATTAAAATATCGTCATATTTCAATGTTTTATACACAAAAGAAGCACACCTCTATACAAACATAACGATTTTTCGGGTCTCAGGTAAGTTTTTTCGGAGTTATACAAACTTAAAAAGATTTTATTGGCTTTTTTCTATTTTATGAGTTTTTTAAATTTTTTTCTAGAAAGACCAAATATACCAAAAGCTCAGTGACCTTTTTATTGTATAATGGTCATAAAAGTAAATTAGTTTAAAGCAAAACATAGTTATAAAAACAATATTAACTATTTTTAATATTCATTTAAACGTCCGTTATGGTCGTGACAGGATTTTGTGTTTTTCTACTAAAGATGCTCTTTAAAAAGAAAACTACCAAAGATATTGCGTTACCATGGACATTTTATGAAACTTAAAATGTTAATGAAATAAAAATAATAATAAAAGTTTTGAAAAAAGGGGAAAAAAATTTGCAAAGTGCTTTTCCTGAAAACGTACGTTTTTAAATTTTCACTCATACACATTTCAACTTGGCAAAGTGGCAGAGAATTAAAGGCTGGCTAATAAGCTGGCTTAAGTTCACAGTTAAATTAATATCTTTCCCCCATTGCTTGTCCTAACTTCATACTTTTACAATTGGTTGTTGTTTTTAGAAACTCTCCACGCTGATCATGAATGACCAAGTCTTAGGTGCCTCAGTGAAGGTCAATCAACACTTCAAATCAATTACAAATTTTGCTTCTGTAATCACCATTCCAGGTAAAATATTGAGATGGATTTCAAAAGTCTAGTCTCATAAACTAAATAGGTAAAGCATCTTTAATCCAATAGCATCAACCATCATGTATAAAATGTTAAATAGGAAATATAATTTCAGTCTCAGCTCTCTAAAAGAGAAAAAAATCTTTACAGTTGGTCTATAGACGGTATGACCATATGGACTTTAGAATCCAAAGTCAATGATTATATCTATAGGGTGTCCCACGAAGGGGTTTAAACGTTTGATTTTATATTACGCGCCCATTCATGCACCGAACTTTTTGAAACTTTACACAGTTTACAAAGTAGGTTCTAAAAATATTCTGGAAAAATTTCAACTCCCTAACCTTAGTAGAAACAAAATGGCGGCATATTGAAAAACGTTACTTTAAAAGCATTAAAAAAGGTATTTTTGGTTTTATAAAATATTTTTATTGTTACTTTCCAGGGCAATATGACTTTTAAATAAAAAAAACTAGAACATAGCCTAATGGAAAACTAAAAATGAATCAAATAACTAATAAATAATAATAATAAATAAATAACTAATAATAAATCATGAAAGTAGTTTTTATAGAAAGCACATTGGTAAATTTGTCAATATGCCACCATTTTGTTTCTACTAAGGTTAGGGAGTTGAAATTTTTCCAGAATATTTTTAGAACCTACTTTGTAAACTGTGTAAAGTTTCAAAAAGTTCGGTGCATGAATGGGCACGTAATATAAAATCAAACGTATAAACCCCTTCGTGGGACACCCGGTATATTACATAAATAAAACATATTTTAATATTTGAACTGTAGAAGTTTTAGTTTACATATTTTAAAAGTTTACTAAACAAACACATAATTACACAGAGTTTCATACATTGATTTGTTGATTTCAGAGATCAAAACTAAGAGAGGGATTTTGGAATTACAGTGCAGCAGTATGGAATTGGATGAGACGATTCCATTACGTGGACACTTAAATGATGCAACATCACAGAATCTGGTTGAAATGGAATTACTACCACCATACTTCCTCCCCAACAGGACTTCAAGAAGTGTAAAACTAACAAAACTTCAGCGTCAATGCCTATGATGTGTTAACTGTATTGTGTGCAAAGAAATGGCATGGCATTGGTACAATATATTTCATAAAAAAAAAAAAAAACAATAAAAGTATGTTCCACGAATTATTAAAATTATGTTATTGTATATTATCCGCAACAGAAATAACATTACTATTCGTTAGTCATAAAAAAGACAGAAATTAACTGGGGTACAAACAAAAAGCATTCTTGGCAAATCCTTGACAAATTTGTGCAAAATATTATTAATATGAAATATAAATACTATTATATAGGTAAATATTATACTAAAGTATCTTGAAAGCTCTAAAATATTGACAAAAATGTCAAACCACAGTTTTTTAGGGTTACAACACTCTCATTTTATAATGTATTGTTTTTTTTTGGCTTCTGAGCCCTTTAAATAGAAAAAATACAACTATATTGGATGCTAGGTCTAGGTCTTACCTTTGACTATGACGAATAAAACTAGTATGATTGAAAAGTTGACTTTGTTTTAAGATCATGTTTTCAAATTTAAAAAAATTTAGTAATTATTGGTCTAGATAATATAAAACTGAGCGTGGACTAACATATTTCATAAAATTACCATTTTAAAGGTAGGTTGGAACCAGTGGCGGTCCAAGGATTTCATTTTGGGTGGGGGGCATGAGCACCGGGGGTCTGGGGGTATGGAATACCCCTCCAAAAAGGGGGGTCCAGGGTTTCCCCCCCGAAAAACATGTGGAATTTAAAGCCTAAAAACATATTTTTATACATATTTGAGCTCTAAAATATGTTCAAGCTAATAGTATCTGTGTTAGCTAATAAAATATCAAATATTTCGGGGGGGGGGGGGGGGGGGGATATATTCCTCCCATTTCCCCCCCTGGGACCGCCACTGCTTGAAACTTTTTTTGTTAAGTTATTGAAGCACCAGCCATCAATAGTTTTAATTAGTATTTTTAATACCATTGAATTTTTTCGCTGAATGTAATTTTTTTATGAAAATGAAATTTATATTAAATGTTGATGTCATCAACAAAACTAACTACCGGTAATGTTTTGAATATATAGTGAGGATTAAATTTAGTATTGTTACTAAACAACTAAAAAGAAATGGCATTCAAGCTACCTTATCTTAAACTATGTTCCTCTTGGAAACATATTCCAGTATGTATTAAAATCCTGTGGAAATACTTTAAAACTGTTGGACAAAGAAAACAAATATATTTGATAAATTAAGCTAATATTTAAGCTTGTGTGTGCATTGTATGCTAAATGTTTGCCCAACAATGTTCGAAAAGGAATCAAAAGTTTGTTTAACATTTTTATCTTTGAGCCAGGTCACTTAATTTGCTATTAGTATAATGTGATACGTAAAAACTTTTAAAAAGGAAAGCTTTTTAGTTGGCATTACTTCTAATTTTGTTTCTCAGTGTTTGACTATCACATTAAAAAATTGTGTACCTACAGCAAAACATTATGAAATAAGCCAAAATTTTTAAAGTTTATTTAAATCTTATAAATAAAACATGTAATGTTTAAAATGATAATTTTTTATATTTTAGTTTTTTTTCTAACTGTACCACCTGAGATAAAGCTGTCAAAGTTCAAATTAATTGTACCATTGGATTGTACTCATGAGGAATCTAACTGTTTTTGGGTTCATTGAAATTGGCTGAGTTAAATTACTTTAAAGCACAACAAACTAATTTCTCAAAAATATCATGTCACCTATTACCTATTTACCTACTAAACAAAATATCCCACTGGAAACATATATTCCAACAATAAGGGCAATAAGTTTGGGCAAAAAGTGTTATAGAATTTTGCCATCACATAACACATTTTACTTCTGGATTGAAGTGTATTCGAACCAAAATAAATGTAATGTAAACATAAATATCAAGCTGCACTTTGTTTTGTAAGCAAGCGGAGGAAATGAAGATAAGCTCCAAATGTTGATAATGCATCCTGTAGGCCAGACAATGGAACAATCATGTCCAAGATACTTTGCTTAGTTGTTACTTCGTCAGTTGTTTTATTTTCTTGGTTTATTACATCTGCAATATCTTCTGAAGAATCAGGTATAATTTGAATTAGTTTTACCATAGATAAAACATACTCCCACTATAATACAGTTACAGTGTGTTGTAATTTGAGATTAAGCTCTTTTTTATGTCCAAGGACGCTAGGCATGAGCCAGGAATTGTTTTTCACATTACTTCAGGCTAGAACTAGGAGTTACGGCATTATCACTTAGATAAAATCCATTGGTGATTTGGCGGGATTTGAACCCGGGACCTCAGCAACTGGAGTCCTGTGCTCTAACCACTAGACCAGCTTGCTCCCCCAAGATTAAGCTCATTGGAATTAATGATACTTCCAAAATAAAACGGTCCAAGTTTAATTGTTAATTATTATTGCTGGATTGATAGTTGTTGTTAAGTTTAATTAAATGGCTTAGTTGGTTGTAATTTAAGGTTTCTTCTCACATTTCCTTGACATTACCCAAGTAGCATAACAATGTTTTTTCAATGTTGTTGTCAACATTTAATCAACATTAATTTAATATTGCCCCAATATTGATCAACGTGGTAACAATATTGTTACAACGTTTTCGTGAAACAAAATACATTGTCTTGACAATGTTGTCTTAATATTTTTCAACATTGTTTCAATGTTGTTTTCAACATTGAAACAACATTCATTCAATATTGCCCAAATATTGATCAACGTGGTAACAATATTGTTATAACGTTTTCGTGAAACAAAATACATTGTCTTGACAATGTTGTCTTAATAGTTTTCAACGTTGTTTTCAACATTTAAACAACATTCATTCAATATTGCCCAAATATTGATCAATGTGGTAACAATATTGTTACAACGTTTTCGTGAAACAAAATACATTGTCTTGACAATGTTGTCTTAATATTTTTCAACGTTGTTTCAATGTTATATGGAAATATTAAGCCAATATTAAGACAATTTTGAAAAAATGTAGAAATAATCAATTAAAAATATTATGTTAACATTAACAGTATTTTGATTATTGTTTTACAACATTGTTTAAGTATTTTTGTATCGGCTGTATTATCCTGTCAATATTAAGCTAATATTTTAAAAAATTCACAAAATAATTGTTTAACAATCTAAGTATTCAAAATACTTCGGCCTGCATAAATGCATAGCAAAAATGTCAAAACAAAAAAACTCATTTTAGGTAATACTCTATTGACTGACAAAACAATTATTAATATATTATTTTATTCTTGGATAACAGTAGGCTATGCTATTTCATAAAATCCGCAAAAAGTGTTTCTGTGGAATATTGTTGACATAAGTTATGTATATTTATTTGAAGAAAAAGGTAAAAAATAACGTCACAATTTAAAAATATATTGTTTATTCTTTCAAAAAGCCCAAAATATACATTTTTTATAGAAGGTCAAATCACAAAAGAGACCAAAAAACAAAGCGAAAAAAATATTCTTATAATATATAAAATCTATAGACAAAAGTAAATCACTTTCAAGATTTAAAAATTAATAACTGTAGGCTCAATGTATAGGCCTAGTGATTGTTGAAAAGTGTTTATATCTTCGCTGACATCTCCATAGGCCCGATTCTCTTCGACTGTAGCGGCATCCTTCCCTTTCCTAAAAAAAGTGTTTGTGTCAAGTTTATTTTGCATGGGAATTGGGAGTATCTGAAGGTATAGAACAACAACAGCTGCTATTTCATGTTGTTGAGGGTTGGATAGAGCTTATGAAGTACATCAGGCATGTTTGATGTATGTTCCACGCTCTCACGGCCGCACAATTTTTATTTCAGCTAGGCTAATACTGCGGTTTCATTGTGACGAATTGAGAGTAAAAAAAATGAAAAAATATAAAACCTAACCGTAATAAACTAACATAACTAACCAAACTTGCTAATAATATAAAAAGAGATATAAGATAAAAATCTAATGAAGGTTTACTACCTACTCGAAAAAAATTGTTCTGTTCATAAAATAAAATTATAAATGCCTCAATTTCTGACAAAAAATGAAGTTGGCTAATCACATTCTAAGCAAAATCTTAAACAAAAAGTTAGTGTCACCGGAGGGATTCAAACTGGATAACTCTTAGAAATCGTTTGACTACTCTATCCACTACACAACATCGATAGTTGAACAACGTATCGTTGCGCTAATGGTGTTATCTCAAGAGAAGAGAGTGAGTCAGACCATGACAGCCAATAGAATGTTCTAATTTGTCCGTATTGAAAACCGCAGCTGAAATAAAAATTGTACCTCATGGCCCACTTTAAAATAACTATTTTAAGGTTAAACGTAGCCTTGGAGATTGTTAATGGTTTGCAAGGTCTGTAATTTAAATACTCCCTTTTCCACTATTTTCTCCATTGTCAAAAAAATGTTGCATATTACCATTGACTAAATTGTTGAATAGGGCCTACTTGTATTAACAGCCAAATATAATACAAGACCTATATTAACCTATATTATGTATGAAAGGCATGTATTTAAAAATTTAGTTAGGCAGAGATAGAGTCAGAAGAGAGTATAAAGGCTTATTTATTTACTCTTATACAAGCTTCAAATTATCTAGAAATATTTTAATATTGCTATTTATTGCCTTATTTTTAGTTAATGAAAACAAAAACTCAACATAAACAATGCGGTAGGCTGTTGTAAAATTAGTCATTCGAGGAACGATTTCCTAAACATACAACAAAACCAAAAGCTATTTTTTGCCATTATATCAAACCGTATAAAGGCCTACCAATACATTTTTTAAACCGGTAGTCACTATATTTTTTGGCTACTGTAATTCAAACATTAGGTGTCAGAATCTAACTTAATTTTTTTTTTTTTTTAAGTGAAATGATCAAATTTGTTTAATCTTTTTAAGAGGGTGAGCAAATTTTCGTACAAAAACCGCCATGTACTATCGGTTCAATAACGAAATACTAAGTATTTATATTATTTCGGACCAAATAGGTTCAATTCAATCGATTAATGGTTGAATGAATACATATAATAAACACTGTTGCCGTACTGCGACGGTACGAAGTGCTGCCATCGGTGTTCGAGGTGAAGTGGATAGTGTTCAGCTCATAATCAAATATACTTATCAGATCGAATCCCACCGGTGACACTAACATTTTGTCAAAGATTTTGCTTAGAATGTGATTACTTCTTAGATGTACATCTTTTTTTAGAATCTGAGGCATTTAAATTATAATTTTATTTTATGAACAGAACAATTTTTTCGATAGTAAACCTTCATTTGATTTTTTCATTAACAGCATGTTTGGTTAGTTAGGTTAGGTTATGACAGTTTGCGAAATCACACGGCGTTTTTATACAAAAAAGTGCTCACCTTTTAAGATAGCCTACCTAGTTTTTACCATCTGGTTAGCCTACTTTACTAATCGATCTTGGCTGAGATTACCTACAACGTAGCCTCATCAGACACAACACTCCCTATGATTATAAATACATGTTTTTTGATTTGATTAATCTAGTCAAACGATAGGCCTAGCCATACAATATGATATAAAGCAATTATTAATATTTAGACAATTAAATTCTATTGATACTGTCATGAAAGCTTGAAAAGCACAAGTCAGTCTTACAACAGTAAAATATGATACATTAAAGCAAAATAAGTTAATAAGTTCATTGTACTAAAAACCAAATAAGAGTACTGATAGCTATATTTTAGAAAAACATCATGCAAGATTAATAGAGCTAAAGTCCGCTTTGAAAAATCTTTAAGTCTGTAAAAGGGCCTTACAATACAATCAACCATGCATACATCACATTCTTAAAACTATCTAGGCTAACATGCTGAGCTGACAGAGGAAATCAATTGAAAAGGTCAATTACCTGTAGTTTCAAAGGATGTTAGAAACTTGGTCAGTCTTGTGTAGAGTCTACTGATTTTATTTTGACCTCGTGCCCCGTGGTTTTATAGGTGCCTGCGTGCCTGTGAAGAATGACAGTGTTTAAGTTAAGGGATTTTTGTATTTATGTAACTTAAGACACCTGCAAAAATGTACAGGTTGATTACTGTTTGAATTAAGCTTTAATTACTGCGCCATATTCATAAGCAGTGGACTAAGTTAAAACAAACAAATAAGTATAACCTATATAAAGTACAGCAAACCTTGATCGGAACAGAACAAGTTAGGCCTACCAACAAATTAATGTAGGTAAGTAAGTTAGTTAAGAGTACTTTCCTGTTAGAGAGAACATTCATTATTATTGATGATTTTTCGATCTTAGTTTTGGTTAACGAAAACAAAAACTCAACATAAACAATGCGGTAGGCTATTATAATATAATATTAAAGAGTAATTTAATGGTACCTATTAACACAACCCAACTACACTAATGTAAAGTGATGATGTTAACGACTGATATTTTAGTTTAAAATATCTTTTTAGTCTAACTTATAACTATTAGGCTACTGTAGTTGTAATGGTAAGTTAGTGGTTGAAATTAACGTAGTAACTTAACTTAAGGTAGGGCCTATCGTAAAATCAATTTAGGCCCTAGCATAAAAGTTATTTTAGGTTTTAAATAACATATTGTTATTCTGCCTCGTGCCTGTGAAGAATGTGTGTTTAACACGTTGACTGCGCGCGCCGACTTTACAGGCGCTCCCCAGTGGCGGGCAAAGCCCCGGCGCGAAACCGAATCAGCGAACGCAATTGGCATTCAAATATTTCAGTCTGGCGAATCACAAAAGAGCAGTGGTGACTGTGCTGTATTACCCCGAGAGTGGATGTAGTTCACTGAAACACCCAAAGGTAGCAGCACTGCACGGATCTGTATCCAGTGTCTTTGTAATGTGGGTTGAAGAGAAAAAATCCCCGAAACCGGGACAAAAGCATTGCCAGAACGGATTTTACGGGAAATTTTAGTCAACCTGTACAGGTTGGTTATTGTTCCAGTTAAGCTTAAATTACTGCCATAACTTAATCATAAGCAGTGTGACTAAGTTAAGTCATAACAAACAAATAAGAATAAGTTAGCCTATAAGTTAAAGTACAGCAACCTTGACCGGTACAG